CAAATAAAATCCTGCCGCCGACGACGACTGTGAGAGCTGGTGCAGCGGTTGGGAAAACGGGTATTCCCATGATCGGGGATGGCGAACGAGCAAACAAGCGAGCCTGCGGTGCCGAAACTCTCCGAGCAGCAGCTTTTCGACTTGTTCGTGGTCGCTCCTCGCTGTCTACCAAGTTCGCACGGATTTCATGCTCATCGTTGCTCGGAAGATTATCGGAGAACGCCAATATCTCACCACGTTCCTCGTGCTCGAAAGGAGCCTTCACAGAGCCGATTGATGTAGCCGATTGGGAAACCGCGCCGAACCCCAGTTCGTTTATTAGATTTTTCATGGTCATCCGAGGATTCGAGAGCCGGACGGAGCTTCTGGAACGCTCAATCTCGTCGGCACCAGCGGAGTTCCGCCTCGGAAATTATCTTGCTCGCTGGAGTGAGGTATCTCGCGGCTTCCGAGGGATGCTTATCGCATTCGACCCCAGATATATCTGATAAGGACGCCGGAAGGGCGCGAATCTTCTTATCGCGGCAGCGATTCGTCTTCGAGGTGTAATCGATTCGCTGGCCATTCGACGTTGACGAATAGAAAGAAACCCGACGTCTTATCGTTGCTGTCGGAGAAGTTCTTCAGGAAAACGGAACATCTATTCCAGATGAGAGTACTCCCTCCCTCTGGCGCCCCGAAACGAAACACGTGGAAGTCCCGCGAGCGCGTAGGTCGACATTTTTTGAGCAGATTCACTATCGGGTACTCACCGTATCGGATTACGTGGAATGGATTAGGCCTAACGAGTGCACAATAACGAGGTAACGAACGGCTTAAGCTTGAGCTGGACGCGGCAACCGGTTGTCCTCGCGTCGAGCTCACGCTTCTTGGCCATCGGGCGGAAACCACCAGCCCAGCGTCTTCCGTGAGTCAAGGGGAAGAGACAAAACGACCACTCCTTGATTTTAGAGGGAACTCCTGGGTCCGAAAACGGAAGGGCAAGAATGAATGAAATCAGAGATTCGTGTCGCCGGATTGAAAGCCACATTTTGTTGCTAGGTCGCCGCTACCGCCGCCGCCGTCGTCGTCGTCGCCGCCGTGGTAGCCCGAGCGAACGGCAGCAGCCGTGCGTTCGTCCGTCCGTCCGCCCCACCGTCAGCTCAACCAAGCGAGCGACGAATATCGGGTGGGGCTTTGAGTCACGAAAGGTGGGCTCACGAAAATGCGTCGCCCAATCCCGATACTCGAATGTCGGCGCAGAGCCATAAGGCGGAGCATTAGGTAGAACGATATTGCTCAAATTATCGTTGTTTTAAGCTGTTCTCAGCTCGACGCTGACGCTTCGCTGCCGTTGGGTCGTTCTTGTACGATCACTGTCGGTATCGTTTTTCGGCCGGCTCGCGATTTCGCTACGCGGACGTCCACTGTGCTCATGGTGGTGGGTTTCAGAGAGAAAGAGAACGTTGTCATCGGATACCCGGACCAAGCGTTTGTTCTGCTCGTAACGTTCCCTGAGTCTCGGCGGTTTAGATGTCGGGGAAAAGACCCCGGTCGAGGTCCTCGGCGACTACGGTCCAGAGGAAATATGCGCACAGCGATCATCGACCATCTCGCTCCCCCATGGAACGTCAGGCGTGAGTTATGCATCTGCTCTCGAGGGGACCCGATCCGAGAGTCAGAAAGAGATCCGTTTCAGAGGATGCGGTGACCGTAACAACGGCAAGCGTTCACACCTGACAGAGTAAGTTCACATGCTCGATGCGGACACGGATCGCATTTTCGGGGAAGTTCCGTTCCCGGTCAGACCAACGCCCCGATGGTTAGAGTCGCGGGCAGATCCACGTCGAGATTCCTCCGAACGAGGAAAAATTCCCCGCTATCGTAGATGATGTCCGGCAATGCTCGTAAATCCTAATCTCGGTGCGCGCATATTCCCTCTACGTGTATCGGAGCCAACGACCGAGATCTACGGAGCTGTTTCCCCCGATTATCTCCCACAATGAGGAAACCCCCGCTGACTGACGATGGTCCTCGAGATCCCGTTTCCCACGCTTCAATGGTCGGTTGCATGAGCATTCGGTTCGGGGCAATGTCGAGATCGGGCCCCAACTCGACACTTTCTCTTCGAGGATAAGAAGGATTCCGAAGCTCGTTAGACCGAAGCGAGAAGGAAGCCGGAAGCACCCTCATGCCGAACACACGTCGACTCACGAGGGAATAGTGGAATGGAGTCAGCCGGAATGAGTCATTTCCTGTCTCTCCGAGCTACGTGAGGTCAATGTATCTCGGTATCTCTATGTATCTCAATGCTCAGAGGAACTCTGGATTGTTGTGTGGATCGACTTGGTTGTATCGTTCGATTCTCGGAGCTTCCGCTCTCCGTTGCACCGAAGGCAGAGGTCTCACTTTTCAGATGCTGAGCATCCTCCGTAATCGGGCCTCCTGCGCTATCAACAGTCTACGGAGAAGCGATCATGGGTCGTTCTGGGCCCTCATCTTCGACTTGGCTGCTCGAGCGACAACGGTAAGGCAAACACTTCGCAAAGGAGGTCCGAGCTGCTGCCGAGAGGATCCCACTGAAGGTATATTTTTCTGAAGATTTCGCTGTGCGCGAATAGATTTTCCCGTAAGTACACCTACACTGGTTCGCGATGTGGTGTCCCTGCGTGTATAAACGCCTCCGCTCGTCACGTTGAGGGGAATCGAGGAAGACGAAAAGATGAGGACGCTCGGAACCGCTTATTTAGGGCAGCCGGCATTGGGGTCCTCGGGTGGCCGGCTTCCGAAAGACGACCAGCTCTCCTCGACATCCGACATCCATCAGCTCTCGATCAGCTCCGGTCAGTCCATGGGCATCCTTGCCTCGGTAGGCTCGATAAGACATGCGAGCAGCCGAGCGGGACGAGTCGAATTGTTCCCTTTCTGAACAGTGGGTCGGATTTGCCGAGCGCAACACCGCGAGACGGAGGAGCTTACCACAGACCGTATTGCCCGCTCGATATGAAATCTCAGAGCTTGTGATGAGCATCGTCGAACTGACTGACTCGATCAATGAGACACGGCGGAAGGCTCTCAGCTCTCGGGGCTCGACTCTATCCATCTAGGAAAGTCTCACGGCTCATTGGATAATGCGTTTACTCATGCATGCGTCACCCGTGCAAGAGACTTTTTCGGGAATCAATACGATCTCCTAGAATTCAGAATGTGCCTCTGAAGCATTCCGCCTTCTGGCTTTCTAGGAGCTATACTGATTGCTTTGATATTATCGACTTTTGATTGTTCCGATCATTAATTTCCGAGGATCTTTCGACTTCAGGTGTGCAGACGACGAGAGTTGAATTTCTGCGGGAAATGTCGGGGGGAAACTCTTACTTTCCGTTCTTCAGCTCCTTGGGAGGGAAAGGACTCGACGACGCGAATCCTCATTCTGCGTCGGGATGGAAAGGTGCTCCGCTCTGAATGCTCGTTCCGGGAGGAACCTCTGTGCTGGGGACACGGCTCGTCGCAGGTGGTGGCGAGATGATAGTTCCCCTTTCAAAACGAGAAAGAGAAGGACTGATAATTTAGTAGAGAAAGCATCTGGGAGCCCTCGGATGATATTCATCAATGGTTTCCCTCCAGATCGCTTGCTCTATGGGATTGACTCGAGACACGGAACCCTGCCCGTGAATGATTGTCCAAACAGAGAGCAACCTCTCCAATATCTCCGACGCCGACGCTTCAAAATCATCGGCACCCTCATTCCTCCTGGTCCGGCAGCGAGAGACGGAGATAGAAGCCCAAGGATCCAATGCGCCTCCAATCAGAGTATGACCGCCGAAGTCATCTGCTCCTTTTCTTTTCACGCAGTGGACCGCGGTGGCTTCGAGAACCCGGCGTCTGAAGCCCCAACGAGAACCCAACAGTGGTCAACTGAATTCGCCCTCTCTGTCGTAGGATATAACATAAGTCATGGAGGAGTAGACGCAGACTCGAGGGTGCAGTTCATCTTGGTCGAGGCTCGTATATTGAGTCTTGGGATCAGAAACATTCTGAAGATGCCACCAGCCAGTAATTTTCGAATGGTTGTATGAGCCCGGCGACGTCGTCGGTCGCGAGTTTTGGAGTCAAGGTCGTTTGAGGCCCCAACCATCAGAAACGGGGCGGCGTTCCCAACGTCGACGTCGAACACGAGCCGACGCTCCGCGATTGTGAATCCCAAAGGAAAAAGGCTCGTGGTAAGTTGAATATGCCGGCATCCCCAATGAGCGGGGAAGCCGAAGAATTGCCAAGCGAATTTCACTTTTAGCTTAATTCAGTTCTGAGACGGAAGACCCGACAGCGACTGCGTCAGAATGGATAATAATCGGCAGGGTCCGTCTGGAGAATGTAGTTTTGAACCCTTTCCTTCTAAGTTCATTGGTTAGATTTTTGATCCAATCCGACCTTTATTCCCGGAGCCGTCCACCCGGCAGAAACGACGCGAGAGTGGTGTTAGTCGACATAGATCCGCCGGCCCTGGGTCAGGTATGGGTCAATGGGGCTCAATCCACGTTTGTACGGCGGACGGCTTCGTCTTGCCGATCTTGGCGATCTTGGTCACGATGGATCTCTTAACAAGCGCCAGACCGAACCAAGGCACGGCTCCCGCGCTCCGAAAATGCAAATTGGAGGGGACAATGTGTACGTCAATATATTGAGTCCGAGAGAGACAAAGTTTTCTCATCACTGCCGATCCCCAAGATTCATCAACCATCACGAACCCCCGGAATCGGCTACAGGAGCAAGATCTGCACAACTATGGTACGCACAGCCCTCCGAGAGTGTCATTTCTGAAAAAACGAAGATCCAATAAAGCGATAGAGGAAAACATCCAATGTCCCTCCTGACATCCTTCTTGTCTTTATTCTCTGACTAGCTCCCCTCCGAATTCCCACGGGCATCTGCTCGACGATGGATTACATTCAGAAATAAGTTACAACTCGTTACAATTCAAGAGCTATAAGATCTCATATACGGCAGCTCATACGAATCAAGCCTCAATGAGGCAAATGAGCGATGACAGCTCCGAGGAAATCTGTAGTGCTAGCGTAGCCGCCGAGGTCTCTTGTCCGAACTTTTCCACTCTTGATGACCTTCTCGACGGCGTCGCGAATTTGAATGGCATAATAGTGAAGGTTCATGTGATGCAACATTTTCGCCGCACAGAGCAGCATCGCGGTGGGATTAGCCACGTTCTTCCCGGCGCCACCACCGAACGTATGACGGCTTCCAGGCTCGTAGACCACGCAGTCACTCGAATAAGAGGCTCCTGGGACGACACCAGCTCCACCCACCAATCCTGAGGCAAGGTTGTCGACGATGTTTCCGTACAGGTTGCCTGTCACTATCACATCGAACTGATGAGGGTTGGATACCAGCTGCAACAAGGAGAGGTGGAGTGAGTTTTTCATGTTGTGGTCGAACGAGTCCATGAGACCGATAGAAGCTCTAGATACCAGGCGAAATCGGTGCCGAACGAGTGTTACCTGCATGCAAGTGTTGTCAACGATCATGTGCTCGAACTTGATGCTGGGATACAATTGGGATATCTCTTGACAGCATCGAAGGAAGAGACCGTCTCCCAACTTCATGATATTAGCCTTGTGGACCGCGGTGACCTTCTTACGGTCGTGCTTCGTTGCGTAATCGAAAGCGAACTTTGCGATCCTTCGAGATTTCCTCTCCGTGACGATTTTCAGGCACTCGATCACACCTTTGACGCTCTGGAAGGCAGTGAAGTCGATTCAGTCCTCGGGAAACTTGCTCGCAAAGCTCAACCGCGCTCTGAGGTTCAGAGTAAGGACTGCAGCTGGCTCGACGCGAAATTTACGATGGAAACTCCTCAGAGAAACAAACCTCGTGCTCCAGAGCGGAGTATTCTCCTTCGGTTTGCTCTCGGATGACGAAGAAGTCGAGATTGTTGTGCTTAGATTTGATTCCCTGGAGCGATTTGATGTGCACCACATTGGCGAACAGGTCCAAGTCTTTCCTGGAGACGTTCGGGGCATCAGTAAATCTTCCCCTCGGTGCTATTCTCCTCTCGCGATCGGGACGAGTATCTCACCTGATTCTCATGTTCCACGTCTGCAATTCTCCCGACGACATCGACAAGGGAGTTTCCAACGTTCCTTTGAGACAGATTCCGTTCTTTCTCACGCTTTCCATGGCAGTTTCGAGAGGGGCGGAGATGGTGTGGTGGATTTCCGATAGGAACACCTCCTCGAACTCGACGGGCACGGAAATGGCCGAGAAAACTGCTTTCACACATTCCGCCAACTCTGGACCGACGCCGTCTCCGGGAATGAGGGTGCACTTGATATTTTGCTGCGGTCGGGAGACGGGCTCGTGCTGAAAATATCGGATTCGGGATTAGGTTCAGCCAGAGGGGATTCTGGGCTCTACTGGGAGCAAGCCTCGTTCCTTGGGGCCCCGAAGTGTCTCTTGGGCTCACTTCCTCCCCCAACACTCTCAAACCTCAAACCTCAAACAAGGTTGGTATTCGACATTGAGTTCGTTTTTACGAGTGAGGTGCTCACATCACCATGCACGGTTACTGTCCCAACTTCACTACGCGGGGTGACTTACCGCGGGCGCCTAGTTCGACCGCCGCGAGGATCAGAAAGATACATTAGATCGCTTTCTTTCGCCCTGTAGTCTATTGTCTCTCACAGGACCGTATACTCCCGACAAGGAACGATATTTTCATTTTGAATCGACACCGGACGAGGAAAGCCACAGATCGGCCCGCCAAGATTTCTTGCGCCATCAAGTCATCTTATGGACAGAGATTCGATACATAAACCATGGAAACAAGTACTCACGAAAGCGACGAGGTTGTTGGTGGCCGAAGTCCCGATGGCCCGGGAAGTGATGGCGGGAGCCTGCAAAAGAAAGGACTTCTATATCAAGCGAGCGCGGGCGGGTTCTCTCGGAGGCATATTCTTCCAAGATGGTGGTTTTTAACGAGTTTCGCCAAATGAGAAGACTTCTGTTCCCCACGGCCGACTCAATGGAAATTCACGGAAATAGATGTCCGCAGAAGTCAGTTTCAGCTGTGGAACAAGGTTCCTGGAACACCGAGTCTCAAGCGCGCGAGACTTCTTCCCCGATCTGATCGAGCTGTGGCTTTCAAAGTTAGACTCCTTTCACACTCACTAGTTGACCGAGCCGGGCAGCGGCCGCTCGCAGGAATACCATCGCGGGAATATAAAATAAATAGCCGCTGAAATGTTCTTCTGAAGGTTATGCCTCGGCCACCAAGATGGCCTCTGCTTTCAGAGAGCCTTACGGAGCGAACCCTGCAAAACATAAACAAACCGCTCTCGAAACTCGAAATTCTTTATCCAGCGCGGGAATTCGCCGAAAATTCTGCAGCAATCCATCATGTCATCTCGTCGCTCATGGCCCCTCCATGGGTTTTCCATGGATCATTCATTGGCTTATTCGTACAGACTTTTCCCTCATCGCGCGTTCTCGGATCGCGAATTCGTCTGCTCGTCCGGTGTGTCTGCAGAACGTTCCCTTTGTTTACAACTTCTGTCGTCGCATTGAATTCGCCTATCGTGTGGGTGACCTTTTCGGAAATTTCATCTTTCCCGGAGTGACGATGCAGGCCGTGAGGAACATCGCTCGCAGATCTCTGGCTCAAGTTCAAGTCAGGCAGGCAGCAAATGCCGCCGCTAACCCCAATGATCGCCGCATGAAGTATCCTTACACATTGGCCGCGATGATGGCTCAGTTTCCCATGAGACACTACTACAAGCATGCATGGTTCGTCCGAATGATGGTTCCATCTATTGCCCTTACGGTACTGCTATTCTGGAAAATCAACCAGTAAGTGTCGTGCCAGGAAGAGCGTTCGTATCGTATCAGTCGGGCAATAATTCCGCAGCCTCCGCAACAGAGGACATCCTCTCATGCTCTTTATCAAATCCTTAATAATGAATTGCAGGCTAGTTAATTCACCTGGGAACATCGCTGCCTGCGAAGAGCGGAAGAGAAAAGAGCAGGCCAAGAAACACAATCATTGAAGCGATAGGACAAAGGAGTCGGCAATGAAGTCGGGTTAACCGTATGAATTCACTCTGTAGGATGTCAATAAAATTTATGAGTCTTAAACAATTAGTTGTGTGAGCCACCCCAGACAGAATATTGTGATTGGCCTCACCACACAGCAGCCTTCACCCCCCCCCCCACTCAACGCCGGCCTACAGGCGGAGTCGCTTGACTGGCGAACTCATCTCGTCACATTACGATGAAGAGTGATCACTGATCAGGCTCGATGGAGTCCGAAAATTTCGCTCGACGATGCACCATCCTCGCATCGTCTTCCCTTTCGCAATTTGTGGTCGGGAAATCCGATCGAAATCTTCCGATGAAAGGGAGCCTGATCGGATGCCTTCTGCATTCTTGCGTCAGGAAGGCGATCGAGTAGATTTCAGACGATGTCTGACCTCATTCCCACAATGAGGGGGGCACCCCGGAGAGGTTGTGCTTAACTCAAATTCGTCCATTTGTGACCAGGATGAGAGTCAACTTATATGTAGCTCGCTGTGGAAACGTTCGTGAATACGTTCTCGGTCATTTATCGCACGATGATCTGGTGTTCAGGGCCCTTCAGACCCGTCCTCATCCGAAGGCGTGGATGAAGATTTCGATGTCGAGGGTGCGACGGAATGCCCAGAAAGGAGGAGAATGTCCTTGGACCCAGTCAACGCTTCGGGATCTCGACTGCATCACTCCTGCGGAATTGGCTATTATTCCGATCATTGATCCCCATCAAATTAGGGAGGATTAGGCCTGGACAGTACCCAATCGGCCTCGGAGGGGAGGCGGAGCGATGTCAACACAGTATCGTTCAGTAAACTGACCGAGTGAGGAAAAGTCCGCGCCACCTCCTTCAGGAGGAAAGCACAGAGTGTCCGATCCATTTTGTCTCTGAAATCTATGCAGGAGGACAAGCCTCCACGAATACCATGTCTCCGTACGTGGACAGTCTTCAGCCAGTCGGTCGCCCTAAGGATAGCATTGTGGCGATGGAGAAAACTTCGAACGGCCTGGATTTCTATTTATTTTTGGGAACTCAAAAAGCGAACAGGGAATGTTCTGACGGAAACTCCGCCACTCAGGAGAGTCAGCACTCTGGAGGCAACACTTCGGGGCAGTCTCCTCGGGATCATCCTCGCGTTGCCGCGTTGAACCTCTATCGGAATGCGCTGACGAATGAAGGACACCGCCCGTCCTTTTCCCCCTCTCGCAACTATGCGTTCGCTCATCTCCTTCAAGAGCCTCAAGACATCTTCACCCCGAACCCACGCGGTATCGAGGACGAGAGGTGCGAGACTTTACTCGCCCAGCATCACTCATACTTTGTTTTCTTGTCGAGCTCTCCTCTGGCCACCACTGCTCTGGCCTTAGGAGAGATCCGGCGATAACACGAGGCGTGGGCGACTCTGATCAAGACGTCCCAAATCAGCCGTCGGCCTCGGAACCACGGCTCGTGGGTCACACCGTCCGGGCGCAGTTGGTCATTCGGGGACCGATTTCGGGGCTCCTTGGAATTTGTGACACCAGCCTGCTCGGGACAGGAGATCATTGAAAGCTCCATGGCGGGCTAAGCTGCCGGATTCTAGACGGTGGCAGAGCTGAGACGGTGGAGGCTCCGGCGGTCGAGCGTTGCGCCGCACGGGCATAGATCTTCGTCGATCAAGGGCAGAACGAGTCTTACATTAGACCAGCGGCGGAGGTAGATCTCTGTCTGAGAGCAAGGTCCCGATCCAGGGAGAGACGCGGGGAAGTTGGAAGTTGTATTGAATCAACCTCCGATCGATCGGTCGGTCGGTCAGTTCGGGCAGAGTATACTACGGATACCGTTCAAACGAACGTATGTATGTGAGGTGCGTTTAGGAGGGCGACGGGAACGAACCTCAGAAATGGAAACCTATTGCGCAGGGTGCTTCCCTCCTATCGAACGATTCTTCCAGGGATGATGTCAGGCGCATTTTCAAGAGCACAAAAAATGTTATATGCAAAAACAGCCTGGTCATTTTGGATAACCCGACCGAGGGTCCGCTGTGCCACTCTAGAGCTCCATGGCCGTCCGAGTGTTTCGCAAAGACACCGAATATTGCGGAGCTTCGCTTTCCTCGGCATTTCCACCCGCCCAGTAGGAGGGTGCAAGCTGGAAAACTGTGGAGCGCACGCCTCCATTCCCTGAGAACTTGTGAGGAGTGGAATTACCGGACCCCAACAATGGACACCAATCAATTGCCTCAGCACACAGAGCACATATTATTATGTATATGAATAGCCAGCTGATGACGGAGGAAGAAATCGCCTGAGGGATAATCATGAGATACAAGGAGGGTGATCCTCCCATGGATTGCATCGATTCTGATCGCTGCTTTGGAACACAGGCTAGACCATCCGCTTCACTGTTCTCGCATTGGGTATACGGACTCACGATGGACGCTGAGAACGAGAATTCACAGGAGTAGCATCGCATTCGAATGAACTTAAGCTGTATTCATCGTTATCTGGTTCCCCGAATCTAATGAACCTGAATTGAGCCTCAGTGATCATTGCAAGCAAGCGAGAGCGATTCGCTTCGCTACTCTCTTGCTCGACATGAATGCCATATTCTCGTTCAGCTCGTTTTATTTAATGTATTTCTGAATCTCCGCGCGCTCTCTAGCTCGCGTCGTGAACTTGATGTTGTACTCCTCGTCGAATCTGGGGAAAAAAATATTGGAAAGATTAAACTCCCTGCAGTTTCAGAGGAGGCGCGAAGTGAAACGGCGTCATTCGGATGATTTTAAATTCTTGGTGTGCGGGCTGACTAATCACCTCTTGAAGTCTTCTTCTGTGAACGCTGACTCTTGCATGTCATCATCTTCGCTCTTGAGCGGGATAGAGCTCTCAGCTTGATTTTTGAAGATACGTCTTCGGACGAGATCGTTGGCGAGCGCTTTCTTCGTATAGCCGTTGATCTTCTCGCTGAATCTGGGAACGGTTTAGCTGGATCAGGGCCTATTTTAAAATATTTCGATGACTTTCTCCGAGATGCTCATATGGGCTCGAGGAGGGAGGTTAGAACCGACCTCTGGACTCTCGCAATGCTCTTTGAGAGATCCGCATTCGAACTCATCCTCCTCTTCCGCATATCTCCCATCAATCGACGAGTCTGTTTCTCCTTCGAGGACAACTTGACTAATTTCACTTTGTTCAGCTCCTTGGCATCAATCATTCGACTCAAGGATGCATCTGCGAACAGAGAGGGAAACGTTGGGAAACGCTTATGGTGGAAAGCTCAAATAGGATCAGGAGGATTCTTCAATGAGATATTACGAAGACAACCCTTACCCGCCTTCGCGGAAGCAGCCTTCCTAGCCTTTGACTCTTGGAGATCCCCCATCAGCAGAGCTGTCTTCTTCAGAAGGGAAACGGACATTGCTGTCACAGGTCCCGAATCTATCGACACGAAACTCGAATACGTCTTCGCACCTTCGCTAAATCACACGGAGGCCGACCATAAGATTCGAGCCTGTATGCCGAGAACTCCTTGAGCATTCGTCGCCTACTAGGAACCTGGGAAGGCCTCGGGTTACAGATCCTTCTTTCCAGGTTTCCGCAACTACACTTAAGAGAAGAAAAAGAGACTCGCGAGCGCCAGCAGAAGCACGCGATCGTGTTGTTGTGAGATGAGCAGACCATTGCGCGTTCGAATGTTCTGTCAACATACGAAGGAAGGGAGAGACAAAATGATCTCTGGCCTCGATCTGACTTCCAGACCTCTTAGGAGTTTTAGCACAGATTATGGACAAGATCATCGTCTTCTCCCATCGACGACAGATTCTATTATATTATCCAGGCATCCCGCCCCGCGCAGGTTCTAACCCTCTGCCCTAGAGGGTCCCAACAGCGGATCACGCCCCATTGAACATGGCCACAGCCTTCCACGAGAGTCCGATAGCCGCTGATCGCACGGCAGTCGATTGACACTTTTCCAATGAAGTGAGGAGCATGCTCAGACTATTATGACGTAGACCCTATGAACATGGTGGTCATGTGAACTCGGCGATCCGAGCGAGCATGATGGTCGGCATTGACTCACCGCCGTTTGACCGCCCGGCCGCTAGGACAGCGGGACGACCGCAGCGTCAGCATTGGATTCGAGCGACCCGCGCACCGTGATCGACAAGGAGGATTATTGCTGACAATCTCTCTCTTGAGGGAGAACCGCGGTCCATTGCGCTCGGATAAGGATGCCGATCGACGATTCGCAACCAGTCATCCTCATATATGAATAAGCACAACACCGTGATCCGGAGTCTGACTGAGAAGGGGGGATCGTGGCCGTCTAACTTTTTCTCCCTCATACGCACTCTCGCTTATTTCAATGACCCCTCAGAAGTCCCGCGCGTGATCTCCCCAACTAACAATAAGAGATGTTCCTATGATTGTGATTCTTGACGAAAGTGCCGTCATCATCATTCTGATCCATTTCTCCTGCAACTCCTCTCCAGAACCACTCCACACTGCAAAGATTACCGTGCCTACATCAATCTTCGCGCTCAATTATTCGGCTGATTTTCTCTACTCGGGGGTTGGGGAAAGGGGATAGGACCTTCCCATTTTTAACAGGCCGACAGTCTCAGATTCTTCGACTGTGATGTTTGATTCATGTCCAGTCCTTCGTGTCAGGTGTTGAAGTTGGAGGTCCTTGGCAGATACAGTCAGGAGTCAGGATAAAGATGCTTGAATATAGCAGGCCAGTAGAGGTCAGACCGTTCCGGTGCCGCTCAACGATAGCCGGAGTTTGGGAAATGTACAATGTAAAACCATTCGTTCATATTAGCCGTACTCCAATCCGAACTCAAGACTCGTACTTGAATTTGCTCCCTCCTCCTCCAGAGGACTCGGCCATCGAAAATCTCGAAACCCTCGGATTCTGACTGGAAGATATATTTCCTTATGCTGCTTTGGATAATCAAAAGTATTCAGCATCATATCGTCTCTCAAGACGCTAAATCATCTAGTCTCTAGTCAGATCAGACGAATCTTTCGAATACTGCTGCGCACCTTGTTGTCTGTCTATCGAGTCCATTCAATCTCGGGTGATCGACAGTACGATCTCCATCCCATGGGATTGAGCAGATTGCCTTCAACTATTCTTGTGAATCGAATCATCGGAGTAGTAAATCTGCCGAAGTCGATTATTTGTACATATATGGATACCGCTATAGATACCGGCTCTTCGCCTAAGTCAATCATTCGAACAGTCAATCGGAAAGTTCTTCCTGGGGGTCTGGGGTACCCATGCTCTTAACTCTGGGTTCCAAACGAGGAGTCGCACATTCATATATCAACTTTTCATCGCTGAGGCGGTTCGATATCGGTGCGTTCGCAATGGTCGCGTACGAAAAGAGCCACTCGACTTCTGAAGGGGACTGTGTATCATATTTTTCCGTTTCCTCGATGGATTTTTTCACCATTCTGTCCGTTTTATATTCAGACCTAGCTCTAGCTTGAGGCTCGGCGTCTGCGGCTGCCTCTGATAGATCGTCCTCGAAGTTCCAGTAATCATCGAACACCATTGGTTCAGCTTCCGGAGGTGGCATGCCATTACGGACGAGCTCCTTGAATCGCCCGAGGAGGAACGTCTGGTCGGCAGTTGAGATTCGCTTGCACCACCGCGCCTCGAAAAAAGGCATTGACAGTACAGTAATCGCTGCTTTCTCACCCACAGCCGTTCAGCAGTTTAGAACATCCTTGACGCTCGCTCTCGACGCTTCGCTGGAAGCTCGTGACGATAGACTGACAGAATCGAAAAGGTTCCTTTTCGACGTCAAGGAGCTGCTTCTTCAAAATGTGCTTCTTCAGCTGTGGCACCAGGACTCCGTAGTAGGACAATTTGTCACCCTGAAGTTGGTCGAGGGCTGTTGTCTCGCACCCCTCCGACTACCATATGGATATTGAAGACACTGTAAAATCCTGAAATGGCACGGTAGGGCGGACGGTGGACTGGATGATTCGTGGACCCCGGAGTAGACCTCCGTGCGAGTCCGATCACCACGAGTAACTACCTCTGTTCCATGATGGCGACCCATCACCGAACTCTCGACGACGAAGTTATGCGCCGCGCGTAGCTGTAGGTTTCCGTCCTCCGTACACCGTCCCGTGATATATTTATTGAACCTCCTTATGGAAGATTATATCAGTTTCATGCAGAATATCATATGTTTTATGCTGACCTCCGAAGAGCTCAACGACCATGTATGACGTCCGAGCGCAAACCGGCAGGGTTCGCGACAAGGGCAATGGCTACTGGCTCGGAGCATTTCACGTATTCTGCCATTTATGCGAAATCACCCGGGGAGATCGATGCATCGAGATCTAGCTCCTGCCTCAGCGATGGAATGTGATCTTTCATGGCCAGTAGCGCCCGAATGCTGTCGTAAATATTGTTCCGACGAGTCGCGACGGGTCGCAGCAAGCTTTTGCCAGTCACGCGCTCGACCACCTCCGCAACTTTGGGGCGACGACTTATCCTCCAGAGCTCGTTGCACTTCGCTAAGACTGCGTCGTGGCACACTTTCAGCTGTAAATTGGTTCTCAGAGTCCGATCGATATCTGCGGTCGCGCAAAGTGCGAAGGTGTGTGCCGCACATCTCGCGTGCGAGGGCAACAGGATTAAGGACCCTTCCTCGATGCAACTCCAAGATTCGACATCCAGTGGATCCTCACGCTCTTCTTCAAGGTCTCTTTCCGACTCTCCCACTTGCTCAACTATGTATTATGGTAGCCTCCGAGGAGAAGGTCGACGCCGAACTTCGTGGACTTCGTACATTTTCCACTCCATTCTCTGCGACATCGTCATCCTGTAAAATTACGGGCGAGAGAGAAATTCGAGCAGACTGTCTGATGGAATGCAATTTATTTATGAAGATAACTTCGAACGACAAACTCAACGAAGGCGTTAACGAAATTGGAGCCATTGTCGGTAGTGCAAGCCGTTATTTTCGGAAATTGGAGCCCGAATGACTCGTGAATTTCAGCGACGAGCTTCGCGATCTCGTAGAATGAGTCTTTTCCGTGCATTTGTCGACAAGCGAGTGCCGCCGACCTGCGCTCGTAGTTCTCGGTTAACCAGTGGCAAGTCATGCCGAGAAATGAACGTTTGCCGCCCGTCCAAATGTCTGCGGTTGTCGCAACCCAAGCTGACTTCGCCAATATTCCCGTCAAAAGGCCGCGGTAATCGGCGAACGCTTCCTTTATCTCGCGCCAAAGTTTCAAGTTCCATTCTCAAAACCCAGGGTATCCCTTTGAACGAATCTTGCTCAATCAATCGCAGCGGGACCAGAGTCTCTGTGACGAATTTCACTAGAGCGATGTTGAATCGTTTCTGAGTGACTTTCCTACCAGCCCGGGTTTGCTTCCTCGCACGCGGGTTCTTATAAACAAATTCGAACCGCTTCGCACGGATATATCTCGAAAATGCTGCGCAAACATCCACTCCATGGTGCCTCCGGATGAACTTTCAGGTTTGAGTTGCTGTTGCGTGCCGTTGTAACCTTCGCTTGACACGACGATGGGTCCGGGCATTTTTTCCAGCGCGCATGTTTACTCATCGACTTCTTCATTTGCCACGCAGTAACCGCTGCGTCGGTGCTGTGGGGCTCGAAGCAAGGACTTCGGAGGGTGTGACGGACCGCCAATGTGAGGTCGGTCCTCAGAAATGCTCCAGCCTCGGCCATGATATGCACTTCCTAGCGAGTGTTTCAGAGATTTTTCAGAGTAGATTTGGGTGAAATTTATGTATGCAAAAGTATATTCGCTTTATTTCGCACCTCCGATACTTCGCGAATCCCGGATCGTCGGGTTCAGCCACCCTAAAAACCTCCGAATACATTTGAGCCACTTTCCTATGGAGTGATTTGAGAATATATCGATATCGATATCCACCGCTTTCGAAATATCGTTATCGTTACTCATCGATATGAATATGCCCAACATTCCCCATCTAGTCCATCGTATCTAGGGAGTATTTGCGGCGAGCACGGTTCTTATGGATTCGGAATGAATCGGAATCAGGAAACACACACGGGATTCATTGACGACCACTCGTGTCACCGCGTGACTCTACGCCTTTTTCAGCACATGCACACACAATCTCTTTATTCTGAGAGAGGATGGGAGTTGCGCTAGTTGCGCTGATGACTGAACAGGCTCTCGACTGGAGGCGCTCACCCCAAAAGCGCTTATGACTGAGCGCGCTTGTGAATGAACGCGCTCATGACTGAATGCGCTCAGTGACTATATGCGCTCAGTGACTTTATGCGCTCATTGCCTATATGCGCTCATGACTCATGACTATTTGCGCTCTCTCTAAATGCGCTCGCGACTATATACGCTCATGGCCAGACGCATGCATGACTATATACGCGAAACACCATTTGCGCTGACAGCGCTATACGACGGCTGTATGCTTTTCAGACCATTTGGCTCATGTTAGCGCTTAGGATTGTTTGCGTTTATGATTCGTGGCACTCATGACTCATGACATCTCATTTGAGCTCGGAAGAGTTCCGAAATAGCACATCCTCGCGATTCGGGTCATGGAGGACTGCGAATCGATGCTTCAATTTATTGGATCACGCAGTGGGAAGAGTTGACTGTAGGTCCATGAGAAGGACGCTCAACGGAAACGTGGCATCGAGAGTTTCGGCATCCAGCTCCCAGAGGAAGAATGCGCATCGCGAAGACAAGGCTTCACGGATTATAAGGAAAGGCACGTGTCAAGGACGTGGTGAAAGATTTTATTTCCCAAGAAACCTGTATTATAAAGGGGAAGCGACTTACCACTGTGACACGACTTGATGAGAAGACACGATAATGAATTTTCTGAACTTTTCCTGGAGCTTGCCGGAAGACGTAACCTGCGCGCCGCGCAAGGGTGCTCGGTTGGTAGCCGACCGACGTCTCTCCTTTTCTTTAAAGACCGCCTCGCGCTCTGCTGGATCACAGTCGCTAACTGCCCTCGGTGAACGATGCAGTCCGACGAAGTGGAATCGAGATGTCCGATGTCCGATTGAATAGAAACTCGGCTTTGAATACAACTTCATATCGATTGATTAGGTAGACTCCTTCCTTCGAACAAATGCATCCATTCAGGGCCATGTCGTCTCAAAATGTGAGAGAAGATTGTCCAACGCACGGCAGACGTCTGTGGGCGCAATCACAAATGTGATCTCGAAATCATCTACGATCTTTCATCTTGCCCACTCTCGAATTGACAACGAAAACTTTGTCACGAATGACGATTGAAAAATTGTATCTTAGCAATCGCTTATCGCGAACAGTACACCGCATTGAGGGAGCAATCATGGTTTGCCACATTGGAGGAATTAGAGTAAATGGAATGAAGCAGGACATTGTCCAAACACTTAGTCCATGTACCTGGTTCCGGTTGAAGCAAGGATCTGAAGTCCTCGATCCGACGTGGAGATGATTACTCGATCCTTCTCATCAGCTTGAGGCCCCTGGTAATCTTGAAGGATATTTCCCGCCTGAGATCGAGTTGCTGATCGGGAAGGGATGACGAGCTCTCACCTTGCTGACTGGCTGGTCAAGCATGCGCTCTGGCGCCCTCGTCCGTCGAACGGATGACAGGGAATGTGTTGAAGAGACGTCGCGACCTGTTTGTCCCCTCATTGCACGATTGCTGACCTACACGATTCCCGGTTCCCGGGCATGTCCATTCTCTCTCTCGGTGATGTATCTTGCCCACGGGCGGAACATGCGATATTCTGCTCGGATCGCAGAATGTCGTGAATGTCGTGAAGACAAAGACGACATTCACGACATTTTGAGGGGGGAGGAAGGACGTTTGTTCTCAGAAGTCGGAATTCACGGGGAGTGCGGAGTCAAGCCTCGAGTATTGCTTACGACGAAGCTTGGTCCAGTTGGTGCTGCAATGTCCGAGAATCGAGAAGAAGTTATCGGGGATCATCAAAGCCTCACCGAATCTGTTAGTGTGAAGGAGCCCTCCGGGGAAATTGCATCTGAGAACGGAGGCGCGAAGCAAGCGTCGACCAATGAAGAATTTCTGACTCAGCGAGGAAAGCGACTGCTGTTCTCCGAAGGCTTCGCTTATCGTTTGGATATACGCGAGAAATCGGATCACTGTAACGGCCGTATATGGAAATATCCGGATGGTCGAGTGCTGCCGCGGAATGAGCACAATCATTACCCAGACTCCACAGATTACGAGCGAAGAAAAGTTTTGGAAAACATTAGGCGAGCCTCAAAATGCAGTTTCGGAACCTCTGCACAAGTCGAAGCTAAGCGGGTGGAATCAATGCCTGCAGGCATTGCGATGTCTTTACCCCCGATCCCGCAGTTGAAACGGCTCGTTCGAAGAACCAGGGCAGCAGAGACGCATGCTTGTCCCGCCATTTTGGAAGATCTCGTCATCCCTTCCGATCAGCAGCTTGATCATGAAGGGAAGAAATTCCTTCAATACGACAATGGGCCACAAGCTGGGGATGATCGAGAAATCATCTTCGCGTCGGACCGAGGACTCCAGATCCTCGCTTTCAGCGACATCTGGTTTACGGAGGGAACATTTGAGGTGGCTCCAACGCGAGTGGGCTCCACAGTACCCCTCGATCGCGCGAGCGAAACCCACCTGTCTAGCGCCCGAAGCTCTCGGAACGGCTGATTGAGCCGAGGATCTGCTAAACAGCGCCTGACATGAAAGGCTGATTTGTCAACTTGAGACATACATGGTAGACTGGTAGACATATCTGAATCAATAAATTACAATTACCAATATATGTTCCCGTCATTCTTATGAGCTCGTCTGACATAGGCTCAATGTACGTTCTTCTGTACGGTATCCCAAGTGTAGGTTCTACCGTTCGAAAGAACGCCGTTCTGCCGGATAGGCCGCTCGAAATTTCTCACGATTCGTGCCGATGCGACGACATACGACGTATGAGAGCGATCTATATGCTCTTCGCGGACTGGGGACTCGGCTTCCAGGACGAATTCAAGGAATTTTCCGCTCGTCGCTCGAGCTCCGCAAGCCGCTGAATGCGGAATGAGAGCGTTCAACCAGCTGCGGTAAAATAATTCCAAGATGGTAGAACACCGCTCGCTGGCTATATCGAATTCAAATCCCGCGGGTATTTCGCCGTTTCCGGTTCAGGATCCGAGACGGTCATAGAAGCTTCGTTCGGGAGAATTCCGACCGTCTGCGGTAGATGTTCTGGCGGTGATGTGCCTCATTCCGAGCTCGATTCTTCCGATATAGAGATTATAAAACGCGTTCCCGACCGTCTCTGCGCTCGCCAGAGCTCCTGGCTCCGTGACGATCGACAGAAAGCATAGATCATCGGTCGTCAGAGAAGCTTCTACGAGGCGTCCGCCGGTGTGATGATTGCATTTCGAACGGGTCCATCTTGATTCGCTCCCGCAGTGGTGTGCTTGCTTCGTGTGCTGTTTTGCGTTCTCGCTTCGAAGCGCTATCTCACGAGTGCTGTCATTGTCCGTGAGAGCTTTTCGGTGTCGTGAGTGATTCTCGATGTCCTTCCCAAGCCCCCAGGATGGCGGACAGCCCCGCACACTCTACGTGGGCAACTTGGACTCTGGTGTTACCGAAGACTTGGTGTGCGCCCTCTTCAGTCAGATGGGGCAAATAAAGGGATGTAAAATAATCCACGAGCCCGGAAGCGACCCGTACTGTTTTGTCGAGTTCGTCAATCACAGTGATGCGAGTTCGGCGATCACTGCCATGAATGCTCGCATGTGTCTTGGACGAGAACTCCGTGTAAATTGGGCCTCATCAGCAATCCAGCAACAAACACCCCATCGTCCCGACACCTCGAAGCATCACCATATCTTCGTGGGTGACTTGTCACCGCAGATCGAGACGTCAGATCTCCGTGAGGCGTTCAGTCCGTTCGGCGAGATATCCGATTGCCGTGTGGTGAAAGATGCCACCACTCAGAAATCTAAAGGCTACGGATTCGTTTCGTTCACAAACAAGCAGGACGCCGAAAACGCAATCCACACCATGGATGGCTCTTGGCTCGGAAGCCGAGCCATTCGTACTAACTGGGCTAGCCGTAAGCCCAATCACAAAGAAACAGGCTCTTACATCGGGGGTCATCATCGAGCGTTAAACTATGACGAGGTGTTCGCTCAGTCGTCTCCGTCGAACTGTACGGTCTATTGCGGTGGCCTCAATCAGATGGCATCGTCCGAAGACTTCCTTCGTCAGGCGTTCGACGAGTTCGGGGAGATTGTCGACATTCGCCTGTTCAAGGATAAGGGCTACGCTTTCATCAAGTTCAACAGCAAGGAGTCGGCCTGCCGTGCTATCGTGGCTCGGCACAATTCCGACATCGGGGGTCAGGCAGTGAAATGCAGCTGGGGCAAAGAGCAAGAACCGGCGCAACCTCAGTTCCCCTACGATCCCTACCAGATGAACTATTGGTACTCCGGCTACTCTATGGATGGCAACTACATGGGAGGAGATTACATGAACCAGATGTACGCAGCCGCCCCGTACGGTCAGTACTACGGCCAGTATCCGATGGCCATGCAAGTGCCTCAAGGAGCTCACGGAGGCCCGATGCCCTACCCGCCTCCGCCTCAACAATACCCCAGTCAATAAGTTAACCCTGACTACGATGTTTTGCTCTGATGATGTCTTCTAGACGGATCGACAATGCAAGCGCAAAATTGTACAATATAAAAACACTTGGACAAGTGTGGCTCCCTTTGACTGGTACAACCCAATTATTCATAATTAATATCAATGAAATTCTTCAAAGATGGTAGCGAACAAAAGCTGGTGAAAAAAAACATGGAGTACCGGTGACGTTTGTGCTCTTCTTCCTATCGATTGTTCCGAAGCTAGAGAATACGTTCGAGGTGTCTCATGATTCGTGCAGTATGGTTTAACAATTAAAGTTCGCTGATGATGTGTCCAGCGCGTATGGAGTTGAAGCTCACGGCGAGGAGGAAAAAATGGAAACGAGAAAAAACAACAACAACAGCAACAGCAACAACACAGTTATCCATCCATAGATCAATTCACAAGCTCATTTCCCACCTTCATCAATGTTCGCAGGGACTAGGTGTCTGTCGTGACTCGCTGCGCGGGACCTTCGTTTGCGAGCGACCTTTCGGGGGAAAACATGGGAACAGTGGCCCTTCCGGAGGGGATGACATGTGTCGGAAGATGAGAAGTCTATCGAGAAGAAACTCCCATCCGCTGGCACCACCAGAAGGGAGATACTACCATGGCCAACAACAGCAGCATCATCATCATCATATATCTACTACTACTACAACTACTATAAGGAGAACGCACGTCGCCTTCTTTTCAGAGTGATCTACGAGCCAAGCAAGAAACCAACCAACCAACAAATAAATCGACCACCCAACATAAGACTATCTCTAAACAAGCGACAACATCCGACCGATAGACCGACCTGATGATTGCTTGATTGATTGAAATTCGACTAGCCGGAAAAAATGAGGATCTATACTAAGTAAGGATTACGACTTTATTGATATCAACCTGTGCAAGAGTACGTTAGCCGACCTGTGGAGTTTGAGCAGAAATCTATTTTGTGAATACGTAGGAGTATTATTGCTATTAAAGATGATGATTGAACGACATGTGCGGAAAACGTTGTAACAAGAAAGACACGAACCAATAGGCAGACGGACGGATGAACAAAGAGAGAGCGAGCAAGCAAGCGAGCGAACGAGCGCGCGAGGGTGGTAGGGGAAAAGAAACGTCGTTCACGGCGGATAGATGGGAAAACGGAATCGCCTTGCTCTCCCTTCTGAATGATGATCTGTGTCGCAGCGGATCGTGGTGATCGCGTGGAGGTACCACACGTTGTGGAATCAAGCTTGACAATCCGCGGGAGCATTGTTGTTGACCTGAAAAGGCTAAGCTGAGAAACAAGAAAACAAACAACTCGGGAAGACACGCAGGTGGATAGCCACTATCGATATTTATGCAGAAGAAAAATAAAGATGTGTCTTCATTTCATCCAGCGTCCGACTCGTTCTTCCCTCTAAGCGTTTTGGTGTTTTCGTTCCTCGATTCGCTCTGACCGAGTTTTCATCGCATCGTATCTGGAGAAGGCCCAGGGATCCGGGCCGAAAATTCCGATATCCTCGACGGATCACCTGGGCCTGGGCAGCCCTCTCCTCCTTCTCAGTTGCGAGCCTTGAACGACGAAACGTTCCTGGGTCGTCGTTCCAGGCAATCGTTGCTGCAATCGCCGAGATTCAATCGACCGAGGGAGATGAATACGTGCGAGAGAGAATCTATTCACAATTTATCATTTATTACAAACACTCGACTAGTCCAATCAAACTCCCGACGTCTGAGCCTCCTTGGTAGAATTTTGGTTCAAGACACTTTCACAGAGAGCGCAGATATCGTCTTCCTTCTCTGAAACGAATCGACGGCATCGAGGGCATTTGAAATCTTCAGCATCTCCGACCTGCATGTAGACGCCTGAATCCACTTCCAGCGCCTCTCCGTGAGGATTGCCGACGATCAGGATGACTTTACTGCACTGTAGGAGATCCGTCAGCGATGAGTTGTGCGACCACGCGTCCTCTTGGAAATCTTGAATTTTCTCGAGTATCTCTATGCTTTTGAGAATGAGGGTAACGACCTTTGAGGGGGCTTGAACACCACTGTGCGCGTAAAAAACTTCCCGGCATTTCAGAAGGATGCCGTAACCCTCATTCACGCGCTCGTTCCTCCACCGCTCATCTACCCGAGGGATAACGTTCTCATGGAGCTTGATGTTGTGATGGACTAGAAACTCCGCGGCCAGATGCGGAGCGATCGGGGCTGTATAGCGAGCCAGGAAGAAGCCAACGTGTTTCAACGTGGTGCACGCCGATCGGCGCTCGACAGAGTGCTCGCCGTAGCAGTACAATCGATTTTTGATTGCGTGCATGTAAACCGCCGAAAGGTCCGAAATTACGAAATTCGAGATCTTTCTGCAAACGCTCGTGTAGTCCATATCGTCGTAGTCTTTCTGTATGGAACCCTCGAGCTCACACACGGTGTGTAGCATGGCCTTATCTAAGGCCAATAGATCTTCATAGCCAAGCTCCTGACGCTTCTGGAAGCTCGCCGTGTTGCCCAAGATGAACTTGAAAGAATTACGGAATTTCGATATGAGAACCTCGCATTCGTCGAGAATATTCTTCCCGACCAGAACGCTCTCCGAAGTGGCGGCATGGCTCGCGACCCACCAACGGAGAACACTGAGACCGAGAGCTTTCTTTCCATCGGTGATATCCGATGGTGCGATTATATTGCCGAGAGATTTGGACATTTTCTGACCGTCGCCGTCGAGAACGAAGCCATGCAGGAACAGTTTCTTGTACGGAGCTCGTCCAGTGAGCGCCACGCTGGTCAGGAGCGATGATTGGAACCAGCCCCGGATCTGATCGACACCTTCCAAGTAGAGATCCGCTTGTTTCCCGTTCAATACCGTAGACCAAGATAAGCCGCTGTCGAGCCAGATATCCATGATATCAGTTCCGAGCTCACCGTCGATTCCGAGGATATTTTTCGCATCGGGACGGTACCAGAAATCCGTGCCGTGGTTTTTGACGGCCTCGCATACTTGATCAACGAACTTCCTGTCCATGTGGACGGACTCCCCATCTTTATAGTAGACCGGTATGGGAACCCCCCAGGACCTCTGTCTCGAGATGCACCAATGAGGTCTCATGGCTAATTGATTCAAGAACATTTTCTTGGCGCTTTCGGGATGCATCTGGACTTCGTTCGTCAGAACCTCGACGGCTTTGTGTCTCAGAGAGCTAAGGTCGATGAACCACTGCAGGGAAGATCTCACGAGAATTGGCTTCTTGCTCCTCCAGTCGTAAGGATAACTGTGGATGTATTTGCTCACGTGGACGAGAGAGTTTTGTGCTTGAAGACGCTTGACGACTTCGGCGCTGCCTTCGGTCAGGACCTCGAGACCTCGCAAGTCGTCCGCTAGCTCATTGTACCGACCCTCTTCGTTCACTATACAAGGGTCCAGAGCCAGGTTGTGCTTCAGAGCGTTCACGTAGTCATCCTGACCGTGGTTGGGCGCCGAATGCACCAGGCCTGATCCTCGTTGAGAGTTCACGTGACTCCCCGGTAGGAAGATGCTCCGCCTGCCGGTCAGAGGATTGATATATTTCAATCCGGAGAAGGAAGCGGTATCGAAGTTCGAAACTACTTTCAGCTCGCAGTTGAACTCCTTCTGGAGAGCTTCGAGGAGATCAGCGCAAATGATCATTCCGTCATTTTCATGATTCTTGCGAACTATGATGTATCGAAGCCCGGGAGAGAAGCAGATCGCCTGGTTCGCCAGAAGAGTCCACGGTGTCGTCGTCCAGACGAGAGCCGAAAGCGACTCGACGCCGGAGGGTATGAGATGCTCGCCTGAGATCAAGGGAAATCTCAGGTAGACTGCTGTGCTCTCGTGTTGCGGGTTGTACTCCAGCTCAGCTTCGGCGAGCGCGGTCCGATTCGACGGAGACCAGTAGATGGGTTTTAGGTCGCGGAATACGTAGCCTTTTTCATACATGGTGCAAAATGCTCTGAGCTGTGCCGCCACGTAATCCGGATCCAGAGTCCGATAAATTCCACTGGGCCAATTGGCCATGATCCCCCATTTCCTGAAGGCTTCCAGCTGCTCGTCAAGGGTTCTGAGAGCGAACCCACGAGCTTTCTCTCTGATTATCAAAGGGTCCGTCGTCTCGCCTGGAATAAATCATCGTGAAAATCGAAAATAGTTCCATGAATGTCTGTTGGTGGGTTATCCCGCTGTAGAAAGACATTAAACTCTAGCTCACCCTCTGCGATCGCTTTGCTCTCTATGGGCAGTCCATGGCAATCCCAGCCGGGCACATAGTGTACTCGGTATCCAGACAAAGCTCGGTGCCGGCATGTGATGTCCTTCAATATCTTGTTGACGGCATGGCCAAGATGGAGCTTCCGAGACAAAAATTCTGGTTATGATTTGATCCATGCGAGTCGCGTTCGCGAGGGGGAGAGGGTCTGGCCAGGCTTCCGGGAACTTAGGCTAATGCGGAGAGATAAGCGTCGACTTCCGCCATACTCAGGAGGAATCGCGTCTCCGAAAATCAGTAAAATGTCTCACCTGACCGTTCGCGTACGGAGGACCGTCATGGAGAACGAATTCTCCCTTCGAATGATCCCCCTTCTCTCTCTGCCATCGATAGTGTTCATCGAAGTTCGTTGTCTCGGCCACTTGTCGGTCGTGCTCAGCCCTCTTCTTGTGCTCGATTTTCTGAGCGAATGTAGTCTTGGGCAGGAGAACCGTCGCCGAATAGGATTTGCATCGTTTGTGAACAAAACCAAGCGGACGCATTTCGGCGCCTGCCTCGTGCGGTACACCGAGTCAGAACTCTCAATCCTTGCAAGCACTCACGTTCCGGCAGAGCAATTCGAGTCAAAACGACCAGATCGCGGTGAGTTCCACCCCGTGGAACACTGCGAAACCCCGGTTCGCGCACACGTTTCTGTCCATCAGTCAGAAATCACAGCTCCCCAACAGCTGCCTAAGCGACGGAACACGTCGGTGAATCTCCCTAATGGACGGATCCTGTGACGGCCCCGCCGAAGTTGGCACATTTACCTTCTGTTGTGTTCGGCCGCGAAGTCAGGTACTTTTACTCCGAAGCATACAGCTGTTTTGTTCGAGTTCTAGACTATGAAGCGGAGCCCCCTGCTCCCCGGAACCCTTAATTGCTAGCCGACGAAGTTCAATATCCGTACCCTTCACTCACTAAGAGACAGGTGAAAAGGCTTCCGGTTCTCATCTATGGATTTATAGTAGGTAATATTGAGGATTCTCGTGGAGGAGAATTCGGGGTCGGCCATTTCGCTCTCTTTTCCACCGGATCTTATGAGGAAACGAGTTGTCATAGAGCTTTTGATTTATTGACGAGAAATTATAGAGCTCCCAGTTGTTGGCAATTAGTATTTCCGAATGTGTCTCAAATGTAGGCGGAAAGTAGAAATCGATCGTTGTCATCATTGAAAGACCTTGAAGGCGTATACGGGGAAGGAGCTGTAGATTTCCGCGAATATCTCGGCTCCGGAGCGCCGTAGATTCAACGGGCGTTTGCTCCCTATGCAAGTTTCTGTCACCAAGGCAGAGAGTGATTCATGCATTTCATCGCAACATCTGACGGGATACGTTCGATAGTGAGTCGTTTCGTCAAGTCTGTCGGGGAAGGCTTTCATCTTGGTCGAGCGATTCGCTGTTCGAGCTTTTCTCTGTCTAAAAGGGAGAACACTTTTGAAGAGACTTAGAGATTTACTTCGCTAAGTCGCTCCGGAGCACGGTGGCGCCAACTCCCCGCTTGTGGCTGTGCTTAGTTCTTTGTTGGGATCCGCGTCTGTTTGCTCAGTGGACAAGTTTCTTCCTGTGACTTCCAGTCCGATAATTGGAAGACGATCGGAGGAGTTTCACTGCCTGCAATTCGATATCCTTCGTTCCCTTACAGTCCGGTCAACGCGATGAGCGAACGGCACCCGACTGCGAAGAACCCTGAGGTGAGTTTGGTTTCTAATTCTCCGCGGTGAGGATTCGATTTCTCTGGGTTGACGGAACAGCTGGCGCAGCTGACCGTCGAACGATCTCATCGAATCGGGAAATTCTCGTCGTTCAGTCGCGCTTCTACGCTCAATCGAAAAGACAGATGAGTACCGTGATTCATCTGACGCTCATCTCCGCTGTGGGCTCGGAGTATGCTTGATTGATCGGTGCTGAGCCGCGTTCGACCCGCAGCGAGACTCGTCATGTGACTGTTTGGACAAGACATTTTCTGGATGAGTTCAGCTTATTGGACATGCGACGGCATCTCTAAAGTGGCGTCAATAGAGCTGAAGGCCACGCTCTTGCAACACGGTACCCTCCTGTGCAACCTGGTGCTGCACAGCTCCGAAGCCGGAACTTATCGGCTCGCTCTCTTGCTCATTCCACCACGTCGCGCTGGAGCGCTCTTGTCGCCTAAAGCTCGGATGACTGTCGACCCGGAACCTTCCGGCTCCTATATTCGTGAATCGTAAATTATTATGATCGAGCAATCTACTGCATACAACTCAAGTCGCTCCGAGGATCGGCGCGGTCCGGTGAGCTTTGTTTCGATATTCAAAGACTCTCATGAGGTTTGCTCTCAGTTGAGGGGAGAATCTCGAGTGAGATCTATGATTGATGTGTTAGAGGAAAGTTTCGCTTCCTCTTCCCCAATGGATCTCACTCTGGGACCACTGTTCCCTGGTCGAAGTATTCGGGGATCACCATCGACACGTTACCCTCACTGCGCTGGACGCGCCATTATCGGAGCCGGAGCGGTATAAACGCGAGACGCATCGAAATCCTTGCCTGCTGCTTTCTACGCGAAGGAAGTGACTGACAAGTGGAAGTGCATAGCTCGGATCTCTTTGGGAACTGACGCTCCTCAAAAGGCTCCGGTATTCCGCCGAATATTCGTGGTGAATCATGACCATCGCTATGCGCGTCGGCGACAAGGTCAAGTCGTCTGTGCGAAAGTTTCGGGGTTCGCCGCTGCTCGACTCTAATATTTGTGCTGCTCGGAGATTTGTGGAACTGGAAACTTTGCGTTACAAGGTACCTCCTGCTCAAGTCTCGCGGAGGTGTCCATCTCTGGTTGATACGCGTATTCTTTCGCTCCAATTCCCGTTCGCCGGTGAGACATCTCATATGACGTCTCGGACAGGGGTAAATTCAACATCTGCTCCCCCTTAACAGGAAATGACCCCGACCGATGGTCGAGGGACGCCTCCGCTGTCCGTGGGGACGGCCTCAACCGTTACCGGTCCAGCCGGTCCGGTCGCTAAGGTCATGCAACGCAAGTTCCACAGGACCCACAAAGACGACGACTGGGAGATCATGCGGGGCTTGAAGCTCGGCGAAACTGTTTCGAAGGAAAAACCCCAGAAACACGAAGGTTACGTAATGAAGCGTCGCAAATGGCCCTTGAAAGGTAAAATCACCAGAGCGGAGTCGTTCTTTCCGGATCGTGAGGTAGATTGGAGGAAATCCGGTGGCAGTCCGATTTTGAAATTCTTCGAAAACAATTCCAGGGTGGCATCGTCGATTTTTCTTCCTCGAGAACGGAACCCTATCTTACGCTAAGAATTCGAGTGACATGGCTCGTGGGCGGTTTCACGGCCAGGTTGACCTTGCGGTAGCTTTCATTTCTTACAAAGCAAAGGAACAAAGGATTGACATTGACGCCGACGAATCCATCTTCCATTTGAAGGTTTGTTGAGTTACGCTCTCTTGCGTACCGATACCCCCGCATCGCGGATCGAGTACGTGCTCCGGTGTTCCCTAACGTTCCCGTCCATAATCATTACAACAGTTGAAAGATCCCGGTTCGTTCGACAAATGGATCGAGCACATATCCGCACATCGGCGATACAAGCAACAGGAGCTATCGAAGTACGAGAATGGGAGTCCACGGTGAGCGACCTTCCCCTCGCAGTTTTCCCCCCAGATTACGACCGAGGTTTACTACCCAGCTGTATAATTCCCGATTCGGTTCGTCATCGACCGAGAGCCCTAGCATCGGTTGTTCGACTAATCGCAGACTGCAACGAGGGAATCTTGAACGCTTAAGATCCTTTTAAAGTATCGCTTCCCGTCCATTCACAGCTCATCGAATGAACAGAGGGTTTTACAATGGGTTCTTGACGCATCATCGACCCCGACGACGCTTTCCGAACGGCTTGCGATCCTGGAGAAAAATCTTGCCACCCTCGAAGATAACGCACAACACATATACATACGACCGCCACCCCGGAAGAAACCGCCGAGGAAACGGAGAGAAGACGAGGCTGTCGCAGACGAGGGCGTCGCGGCTCCCGCCGCCGGCCAGCCAAGCGATGTCGAAAGTGCTGCTCAGGCTCCTGTTCCAGAAGGCGACAGACTCAGCGAGCTCAGCGGAGGTCAGGCGAGCTCCGGATCGTCGGTACAAGACTCCTCATCTCCGGGTCAGGCAGCGAGCGATCCGTCGCAAAGCGCTCAGGAGTTCGTGGAGAACGCTCGACAATTGTTGGCGAGCCTACAAGAACTCGTCGGTCAAGTGGAGAATCAACAAAATAAGCGGAGCACCCTGCTCCGCACCCCGCTCGTCACCGAGACCGAGAGCCTCCGCAGCTTAGTGACCACATACAAAAGAGAAAATGCGGATCTGGAGGCACGTCTCGCGCAGATTCGCAGAATTGTCGGGTCGTCGACGCCGTCGGAGACGCCGCAGATCGCCACCCCGGTTGCCGAGCCTCAGATCGCGGCTTCACGTGCAGTCAGACGCCTCGTTCAGGAGGCGAGTCACGACACGTCGAGTATGCTGTCGACATCGGAGTTCTATGACGCGGCCGAACAATTGAGCGATTGTGCTGCTTCTTCCTCCGAGGGATCGTTCTGTTCCGAAGGGGACACCGAAGGAGAAGGTATGGCACATTATTGTCGATCCAAACGATTTCCGAGAGGTCAGGTTGGGCCGTCGAGTCACGTGCCGTCCTCTCTCACGGCGATGACGACATGCCATCAATGGATTCTTGTCTTTGCAGCATCGGACGACGGTACCGAGTACAATGCGAGGACGGGAGACCCCAACGGGGGTGCCAACGTCGGAACCGTTCGCACCATGAAAACTCGAAGAACGAAATTGCCCGTCCCGAAACCACAAAACGCCGACAACGGTCTCTGGTCGCTATTGTATAAGAACATCGGCAAAGATCTTTCCAAGGTGCGAGTTTCGTTCGTGTTCTCGTGGAACTCGTCGGTTTATTTCATTTTCCCTTCGCACCCTGTGCCTGCGGCGAGTGGGAAGGAACATTCTCCTTGTAAGGCCTTTTGTTCTCATCGAAGCTACGTGAAGTTTTTTGGTTTTTACATCTTCTGACATGCCCTAGGTCTCCATGCCGGTGACGATCAATGAGCCGCTCAATATGCTGCAGAGGCTTTGTGAGGAGCTAGAATATAGTGAGCTGATCGACAAAGCTGCAGAAACAAAGGATGCCATGGAGCGGATGGTTCACATCGCCGCTTTCGCGGTATCCGGCTATGCCTCAAGCTACTATAGAGCTGGCCACAAGCCCTTTAATCCGCTGCTCGGGGAAACATATGAATGCATCCGTGAGGATAAAGGATTCCGGTTCGTAGAGATATCCTCATTCGTTCAAAGACGATTACCGAAATTTTCTCACCGAAAAAGATTTCTCGCATCACTTTCTGGATATTCCCGGCGACGGAGTCTATCTTCTCTGAGATTACATGCATGATATTCACTTCCAGGTTCATTGCTGAGCAAGTTCAGCATCATCCCCCGATATCCGCTTGTTTTGTAGAGGGACAGAGCTTCACCTTCTGGCAGGACATTCGGATGAAAACAAAATTTTGGGGGAAATCGATGGAGATCATGCCAGTTGGTCTCGTTCACTTACAAGTCGCTGATTCGCATTATGTCTGGAACAAAGTGACAACCTGCGTGCACAATCTATTCTCGAACAATCAACGCTGGGCGGATCAATACGGAGAAATGAAGATCGAAGACATCAACCACAAGATAACGTGCAAGCTCACTTTCGTCAAGGTGAGATCTATTCCCTAGGCTTTGGTCTGGAAACTGACGTGAGAGCTCCTCGTAGCTGATCAGGATGCTAAACAATATCCCCTCCAGGCCTCATATTGGTCGGATAAGAAGCACGAGGTCTACGGATCGGTCCTCGATGCTGCTGGAAACTCCGTCCATCATCTCATGGGGAAATGGACCGAGGGAATTTACTGTGGTCCGGTGGCCTCGACCGCTCGCTGTGTTTGGCGACCTGGACAAATGCCCGAAGACTATGAACTCTATTATGGATTCTCCCGCTACGCCATGCAGCTGAACGAGCTGGACCCCGATGAAGCTGATAAACTCCCAATCACGGACACGAGATTTAGGTGCGAATTATTATATGTGTTCATTCATTTCGAGGGGCTCAGAGCTCACGACCTCCGAGCTGATGCCCCGTCAGAGATAGGACATAATTAGTCCAAACTTCCAGACCGGATCAACGCCTGCTCGAGAACGGTGACATCGCAGCGGCCGAGGCAGCGAAAGCTGCCCTCGAACAGCATCAGCGAGAACGGCGCAAAAAACGGGAGGAGCGCGGCGAAGAATATTATCCTCAATGGTTCCGGAAAGTTTTCGATGCGAAGGGTGAAGAGAACTGGGTCTACAACAGCCGGTATTGGGAGACGAGGGAGAAAATAGGGTTCAAAAAATACAAGTTCCCGGAAAAGCTCTGGGACGTCAATTTCGGGACAGTTTTATCTTGAATTCATGAGAACAGCTATTGGACTAGCAATATTTTTCGAACTTTCTATTGGATGACGCTCCGAATCATGACACACTGATCAACGCTCTTGACGCCCACTATACCGCTCGACACATGACGCAGCTACCATCGAGCAAGAACAATGACTCTCATCAACCAGAACAAGACATCAACTATTGGCATATCTCAGCACACAACATCGGATTATTTTAGCAACTGAGTTGGTCGGGAACCGTAAGGAGGTATCTCCGACCGTTTCAATCCCACGAGATATTTTTTATATCGTTGACAGACTTTCAAAGTATGTTTTCCATGCGGCACCATGCGAAATCTGAGGGTCTTGAAGGCACGAACGTTTTTCAAGATGTTCGAACTTGGATTTCGATCTGACAATTTGCTTGATGCAACGACACGACTCATACTATCAACAGCACAGTTCCCAGGGAGCGGGACTTCAGATGAATTTCCACACAAGGGTGTGGAGCGCATCACTCACGCCATCAGGAGCGATTCGGTCAGGGAAGTCCGACCAAACATTCCAGTGCTCTCAGAGCATGGGTCGGGATTCCCAGATAATATTTTTATTCGATGACTTCAGCGGGGGACATCAGGGAATTTTCTGGCTGGCTCAGAAAATAGAAAATAGAATGTTGATACTTTACACATGGCGACGCTTCCTCAAGACTTGAGAGCATCCATGAATCCGCGCGTCGACTAATTTTATTTGAGCAGCGCGGGACAGAACTGTTCTCGATGGTTATCAGATTTGAATGATATACGCGTATCCGCATAAAGCTTTTAATAAAGCGTTGTTTTTGAAGTGAGCATGCTCTCTTGCGTTGTTCTCATACATCCGAAATCGAGGCAGGCTTCACGATCAAGGGCGCTCCAGAAACGCATCAGATGTGCGCTTCGAATGTAAGTTTGTTTACTCGCCGGATCATTCCGTCAGTCCGGTACCGTATCCGAGACGAGGATCTCTAAGCCCATATTAAGCTGCTCGGCGAACTCTCTCCACATTTTGCTGCTCGATTTTGCCTCCCGAGATTGTCCCGAGCAATGATTTTCTCATCCAGGTTCAAAGGGGCTCGACGAAATATCGTTCGAAATAGCTAATGGCGGGTTCGACCTCGGCAACTCATAGAATGTAGTTTTTAGTCTCCGCGATCGGGGAAAGAGATTTCATCGACGTTTATTCAGTCAACTCGTGCGCGAAATATCCTGATATAAAACGGAGAGCAACCCTCCGATTTTCACTCCATCTCTTTGGAGCTTCGTGACCGTAAGCAGTCGAATTCACCGGGAGCGGAGATATGATGCGGAAGGATTGTCTTCTCGGTCTATCCATCGTTTTCATGCAGATCTTGGGCTGCTTGGCAAATGTAGAACAATTGGTACAAGTGTTCAACGCTGCCATCGACTCCTTGGCACCTCCCGACAAAGCTATGAAATTAAAGGTACCGTGTGCAATAATTGGGACCCTTGTTCGCGGAAGACGAGCACTGGACCCTGGAGCACCCGCACAATATCATCCGGATGACTTCATTTCCAGGCCGACATGGAGAAGGCTCGACCCTGTCTGGACAACTTGGTCGCTGAGTTGGGTGAGGGTACCTTGGATCAAGTTTTGCGAGGCATCGTGCCGCTGGCCATGAAATGCGGTACGATGCTCATGGGATCTCAGGGAGATATGGAGAGTCGAAAGAAGATTTTCAGCAAGTGCGCCCACGCCGAATCCGACGAGTTCATCAGCTCACTGCCGAAAAATGAGCAAAGCGCCTTCAAGACTGCTAAAAACTGCGTTAAGGACCTCATTGAGGACTTCTCGTGAGCTGGGAGTTCTTTATTAGGTTCCCGTACATATTCATCCGGAAGCCGAAAGAAGGTACATTTATCATCGGAATCGGGAATCGGCCATCGGGCCTCAACTCTCATCGGTTTCGGGTCTCGCACCTCGGAATTGGGCCGACCGATAGAGATCAAGCACCGACAGACGAAATCATGCGGAGCCTCGATTCTGGACAACGCCGTGGTCATCCGGCAAATGAGGAACACAACATTACGGAGCTAACGAAGAACTTTCACCTTTTGCCACTGCGGGGATTTCATAAAGAACGAAGATAGATGATTTCTTAAGAGTCGGTTTTGAATTTATTCAGATTCCATATCTTTCGTCATGATTTGGGAGTTCCCGATTTCGACTCGGCAGCTCAGATCGGCAGTGATCGGACGCCCCTACGCATCATCGTACAGTGTCTCTTCATTTGGGCACAAGACTGCATCTGAAGATGCTCCTGGTCTTGGTGGCATTCGACTGGAAGGATGCGGGGTATGGGGGCAAGCTCCTCAGGTCATCTTCTCGGATTCCACGTTGAATTGGAAGATGCATTCCAATAGAACACTCCACCCCAATGACGACGTTAACTGCTCGGGAAAACTAGATATGCTGGAGGTAATGCCCCTCGGCGTTCTCTTACTCGGTCATTTGCGGACAGTGATTGCGAGGTACCAGACCATTGCAAAATCAGAGGGAATATTAAGCGGACGTAACTGCGAGCAGCACGAGTGCGGAATCTCAAACTCACAGCGACTCGACATCAGGTGCGTTCGAAAGCTTTTTTCAGCTGTTCCGTCTACGGTTCGGGATGCCCCGCAAATATTTTATCGAAATCCATTGCAATGCTCATCACAATGTGGTTTCCTCGGTCTATTGATGTCAAAGCATGCTACGTCATGTCAGAAAGTTTACAGTTGGTGTACACATATGCACTGATGTCCTGAGTTCCAAAAATATCAATTTCCCGCATTCGAAAAATGATGGGTTCGACTAAGGCAGTGGGTCTCAGAGTGGGTTCCACGAAGGCCTCAGGTACCGCGAGCTAGCGATCGGCCTCCTCTAGACCCTAGAGACTTCTCACTCAATTTAACGGAGCTCGGTCCTCTTATCTGTATCCTCCGTTCTTGCCGGAAGAAGTCTATTATGAGATAGCTTATTTAAAGTGTATTAGGTTTTCGTTGAACCCCTTAGAGGTCCACGAACCCTGAGCAGTCTCTCCATGAACTCCGGTATCCCCGGAAGAACTCGATTCCGTCGCACAACCTCAAAATTAGATGGTCCTGCCGTCTGTGGTGCGCGAACTTCATACATGCATACAAAATGCTCGATATTTCGAGATTCTATCGATGATCCGGTGTACGCTTTCGTATTTTTCTCGAGTCTTTGGCAGAAGACTGAGCGATTCGATCATTGTCAGGTTGAAAGGCTTCCGGACAGCATGGCGTAGCTCACCAATTCTTCCAGATATAAAAAGCTATCCCGGCTGTAATGGCCACTCCAGTCGTGACGAAAACAGCTTTTGGCAAATAGAAGCATAGCACTCTCTCCCAACCCCCGTGTCGTTGAACCCAGGCGCAGACACGATTACAAAAGAATTCCCATAGCCACCCCAGAATCTCCCAACGGATGCCCGAACCAGGACTGTTCCTCAACACGGATATTATCAAATCTGAGCAGAATACGAAAAGGATCACCAAACGTTCTCTCGTGACACCGCCATGGAAGAGTTCTTCGAGGATCGAGAAAATGTTTTCACGATTGATGAGAGATACGTCCAAGGATTGAGCTCTGCGTCTCAGGAGTTCGCGTTCCCTCGAGCGCGCGAACTCGTCTGCCATCGCTAAGAGTTCCCGTCCGGCTTGCCGGAACACGGGATTATTCGCAACTAGTTGATCCTGGCTCGGGATCTCTTCTGGCTCAGGTCCCGAAAGGTGTTCGTAGATCATCTGAGCGGGGTCCTGAATAGAGAAAAAGAAAACTGAGATCGGTAATGAATGATCAACGAATGCATCGAGTGGGATTCCGAGCAGGGAGAGGCACGTAGAAATGATCATCGCGGAGTCTTCAGTGATTTTTCATGGAAACAGAGCCTCACCTCTTCCTCGTCAAAGACGATTCCATTCCGCTGTAGTTGTTGCGTCGTCATAGCTGTCAGGAGCCACCTCCCCTCTTGTTCCGTCTCCTCCTGAGACGGAACATCATTGTTCAAGTAGAAGGGGTTCAGCGGTATACTCATCCCACCCAGCAGGGGAAATTGTCGAGCGAGTCTCATTTCGTCCTGGAGGGAGATCCGGAGAATATTGGTCATTTGGTTATTTTGAGTCGAGGGATCCGGTTCGAATTCGACATCTCCACTGATTCGAACTGTGAGGGTGGATGTGAAAAAGTAGTTTTCTCTATACGTAGTAGATCCTTTCTCTTATTGAGGCTGACTGTGCCCTGCGTTGTCTCTGATTCAACAGGTGTTCAAGCTTGCAATCGCGACGATAACTGGCGACTAATTTCTATTAAATGAGGCAAGAATATGGGTCGGGAGGAGCGGGAAATTAATTCTCGATGCACCCTTGAAAGCAACTGATGAGGGTCCATCGAGACCTCATCGATTTCTGCTTCGGCATGCGATGATATTCTTGGATCCTTTCCGCTCGACCGCTGCGGCTCACAACGCCCCATGAGTCGCAAGAGGGATGACATCACTCCCCATTGACTTCATGTCTCGCTATCAGGGAATCAGGGCCGCTGACCGAGGTTTTGTGGTACATGAGATTTTCGGAGAAATGCTGCTTGGAAATTCTGAGGTACTATCGCGCTGCTCCCTTCCGAGTAGATGCATCTGGGTTTTGCGGTAGTACTTACGTATCAGTACTCTTCTCGGGGAAAAACAATCCCCTGCGTGAATATTCGTAAGTAATCGTCTATTCACCTACGAGAACCGATAAGCTCTTGGATGCGAGTCGGAAACCGGTCGGCGGGGGTCATGAAGTGAGTTCCGGAGACGAGGAGAGAAGGCGCATGCATGATCCGACCAAGATTTCCGATCAGAAAGAATGATTCCGCCTCAAAGCAGAAGATCTCCGTAGCCTCTCAAATTTCAGCGCAAAAATCAGCTCGAGATTCGAGGGAGACGTCGCAGATCGAAAACTTTGACCGCGAGATGCCGTCATCAGCTCCCAGAGCTTCGTTGAGTCTTCACTGCCACCGGGAGGGCAATGACACAGGGCGCTCTAACGGAACTGCGCATTGGGGCAGACGTTACAATGGAACGCCTAACAGAAATACGCGGGCTAAAAACTTCTCCATCGGACAGCGGCCTACTCTGACAGTGATCAGCGTCAGTGAACAAAGAGTCTCTGCGAGCTCGATGGGTCGGAAACTCAACTACGTAATCCCCATCTTGCCGGGCATACTCAACAAAAAAATCGAGATTAGCTTCAGAGCGGAGCCGAGATTTCTCAACTTACCTCTGAATCGTCACCAGACAGTTTTTGATCTACAATTGCCATATCCTAAACTCTGGAGTCTTCTCGTGAATCCAACATGTATAGTTTTTTCCACAGCCTTCGGCGCGCACAGCGGAGACCTGATCAGATAAAGCACCACCACCACCAGCGGATCTGTGTCTCACTCAGCGTCCTCCACGCGTTAGTGTCGGAAGAGTTCTGATCTGCCACTTCTCGCCGTCGCTGCTCCTAAAGCCGCCGCTGCCGCCACAGGCGCTCGCTGGTTGTCTGCTCGCTTGGTTTGTTAGTTGGTTTCTTTCCCGTTGGGAGGACAACTAGGAGAGGGAGTTCAGCGGCAGCAGCAACACCACAATAGCCAACAAGTCGATCGGTGTACATCGACGGAGCGACTGAGCTGTTGGTTCGAGCTGAGCCAACGAAACATCATTAGCCGCTCGAAGGGACGGCCGAACAGACGAGCGTGAGATAGACAAGGAGTTCGAGATATGAACGGATGCGCCGAGCGGACCGGGGTCGCTGTGGCGTCTCGCAACGAACGATATGTGACTCATCGCGCTGAAAAGGCTAAAAAGCTCTCTGACCCTCAATCGCTTGAGATAAATGTCTGCCGATGCGCATTTGGCGGAGACGGAGCACTTCACTTATCGCTCGAAGCAGTCTCGCAGTCTAGCGGACTGGAATGATTCAAAGGTCCGCTTGCGACTCGGTTCCCGATGACACCGTGCCTGCATGAAAGCGGTTCGCGCATTTAAACGGAAACACCCGTTTCTAGGAGCTCTTGACGAGTGCGTCAAACATGCGTGATAATGATTATTGTTAAATAATATGAATTATGAATATTGCTCATGGCACTCAACAGGCGACTTGCTGAAAAGTACTTCAATTTACCGGGCGAGACTGCCGGGAAATTTCCCCGGATAGAAACCCGCCGGAGATGGTGACGTTAGCGTTCGTTAAAGCGTCGTGATCATCTCACTTCTTCGGGAGAACGGACCAGAGCCTTCTGACCTGATGAACAGCCCGATCGCGCAACTTTATGCTTTTTTCGAGCGGAGTCTATAGAGCTTTAGCCGCCTTCGGAGACGATGCGGCGTTTAGGTCAATTATTAGGACTGCCGTCACCGTCCCGAAAATCGCCATTCAAGCCATCGATTTCGCCGGTAGGCCTATGCTATCGAAATCCGTTGGTACATCAGGCACTTCTGAAACCCCATATGCGCGAGTTCGACTTTCGCACTCAGCGGAATAGCGGCCATGTGGAAAGGTGAAGATTGTGAAACGACCTCGTCGTTCGTCGCCATCGGTTTACTGACCGGAGTAGAATGCCGGAAACTTGCTACCCGATGCTGGGATTCGGGTGTCGCCTCCTTCGAAGGAAGTAAATTATAAGGTCGCGAAGAGCCTCAAATTTTAACCAGATGGAAGACGAAGTACGTCGAGCCGGTAGGCTATGCCTGGGTAAAAACTTCTTCAGGTCGGGGGACGATCGCATGCTCAAGGAGCACCCCATCTTAGCAATGATCATTTACAAGAGCAATCATCAATCGAATCACAGGTTCTGCGTAGGTCTACTTATGAATTGCACGTCGCAAGAACTTCCAGGGGTGATGAGTAGTTGAGCTTAACGGTGCTTACGAAGCGGGGTGGGGATCGGAACTTCCTCTGAACCTCCGAACGCTCTGCCAGATCGGTGCATCGCCTTTCTTAAGCCGTCCCTTGAGACGAGCTCCAAGCCACCATATCTCGTCAGTGGTGCGGCTCCCATATCTACATTGGGGCAGAGGCTCGGAACTCCGATGCTTCACCTATGTTAGGTACCTTATCACTGCGAGTGAGAAAGCTCGCAACGCCCGGGGCCGGGTATTTTGTGAAGCCTCGCTCTTGAATATGCTGGACGGAGATTCACTCGAAGTTCCGCTCTCGAAGAAAATCGTTCCTGAACTTCCGTTCGGGACACTCAGTCAGAGGTCTTGGAGATTGCTTCTCGGATGAGTTCGTACTCACCGTCTGCGGAATACAGGGGATAGGAACTGAGCATGGGAAAGAGAGCCGCAAGTTAGTCAGCCGAATCCTGGATCCACCATCGACTATAAATTGAAAACAAAAAGAAGAGAAGTCCCTGAATGGATTTCAGACCAAGACGTGAGGAAGGGCCGCAGAAGACTCAGCGTCGTCCCTGCGGAAGCAAAGCTCTTTACGCCATTGGCAGCTTCAATCGAATTTCCTTCAGGTTCCCTAAGAAACTCTTCTTCCCTCCGGACAGAAGCCGGAGAAGGTTGCCGAGAGCATGGCCGACCGGAGCGCTGAGCCCCAGGCCTACGCCACAGGCCGTAAAAAGGTCTCGTACCGATAGGGAAAGACATCGAGGACTCTGTGGACCAAAGCGTGAGACGAGGGAGTCGATTACAAAGGCTATCGAATTGGCCGATCTCATCTCCTGACTTCGCCGCGTATTTGGCAGCGTCCTTGAGGATAATTGGATGGACCTACACATTCGACCAAGAGGCGCTCCAGACCACGATCTCCGTGGTCCAGTAGTTGCATCTCATAGGCCTCGACTTTGACCCATCACTCGCGCGGAGCGTGCTCTGCTCCGCGGGCGTCGGTTCAGTTTCATGTGCCGTATGAGCTATTTCATTCGGAATCTTCTTGCATTCGGCGTTGCACGATTGATTTCTGAACTCTCTCACTGCTTCGCTCTCTATCTGTCGGAGGAACACTCTGCCAATTCTACGCTGAAAGCAAGTAAACAGAGACTTCTCATGTCGGGAGAAATATTCCGACCTGCCGCGTATTGTTCGCCAGGATCGACCCGGAGAGTGGTCTTGGATTGATGGCAGACAAACATGCATGGATTCCAAGTGCCAAAAGTTCCGTCTCAGCTGGTCGTCGTCTAAAATCGATAACCATCGCGTTTCCAGAAAGCGGCAGCCATCGATCGCTCTCTCGGATGCGCCGATAGAATCCGCGTGTCCATGGACATGAGACAAAAAGTTCAGATTGTGACTTCGTTGAGGATGTTTCTTTGTGTCGGCAGAATCCAGAGATTCTGCTCCTACTGCACGGATATCGGACCCCAAGTGACGAGCCGATTGCTCTCCATTGAGGCTCCTCATAGCGCGGCCTGAGGCGATGGAAAGGCTCAGAAGAGTGCGGCGGAAGAAGCGACTTATCGGCTGCCTCGCGAGCTGTCTTGCGGCGGTATTTCTGTTCGCCTCGAGTCAAGATGGGAAGGAGTCGGACCGAGTCGAAGTAGAGTCTCTACCAATCTTCAAAATCTTCCACCCTGCGTACGAAGTGTCCGAAGTTGAAGAACTTCTCGTTGCATCGGCCGTTAAGTCTATAGAAGACGTCGTCGAGGACCGCAAGATGTTGCAGATTGAGTTGATCGATTGCCACTTGACCCGTTGGTTCCGCGAATCATCGCATCCTGTCCTGACCCGGAACTACAGGAACCTGATACGCAATGACAGTCTTGCTTACGATATCGACGACCCACGGAAGCGGAGGATTGTCATATTCTGCTTCAACTTTACCGTACCATTTAGCAAACCTGCACACCTACTGAGTGTGCTGGGGGCCGAGTCGTATCGTTTGCGAAACAGAGATGCTGGCGACCTCCTGATTCTGCTCACTCGGGATCTCCATGTTGACATCGGGAGGAAGCTCCAGGCATTCCCTGATAATTTCAAAGAAATTATCCACTTCGATGCTCGGCGGCGCCCTATCGCTTTGGTCTGCGTAAGACGAGTCTTCATGAAAGCCCCCTTCGGGTTCAGAACTGTCCTCGAGGAGGTCGAGTCGAAGCCTTCGTCGATAAACAAATGTCTCATGGACTGGAGTGCGAGCGACGAATTCAGAGATTGCCCTCCCGCAAGCTCACCGATTCAAACGATGAAGAAGATGGCTCTCGACCGCAAGACAGGATTCTTCGAAGTCCCATTCTCGAGCAACGTCGGGATCTGCATCAATACGTCAATGGAGTTCCGTCACTTCAGCTTGACAACGACCAACCCGGCCAGAGTCTTTCAATTCGTGGCCAACGACCTGAGCGCCTACGGTTTCGACAAACATGCCCCTGACCATCGGATCCGGGGAGATGTTTTCAACGGATCGATTCTGACTTCGATGATCCTGCTCTGTCTGTCAATCTGGCTGTTGAGCGACTCATGTTCCCTCGGAGAACTCGTGGATCTGCTTCTCGTGTTCTCGAGTTCCGGAAGGTGCTCGGAAAAAGTGAAGAAAAGCGTCACGGCGGCAGCATTGCTCTGGATCCTCGGAAGCATGTTCTCGTCTCTCATCGTCGTGGACGACATGACCTCGACGATCGCTATACCGACTGACTTCCATATCCCTCGACTTGAACAGTGTGGCTTCGCCAAATTCAAGATCGGTCCCCGGCTCCACACCTTGGTGACGGCAGATACTTTCTGGTTTCAAGTCTCCGAAATGTTGGATCACTCTCGAACGGAAGTTGTTTTCTGTGGCCTTCCACTCGAATTCCACAAGATACGTAACGTGTTGGGCTTTGGCAACCTGTATCGCGTTCCTCTGGAAGATCCCGTCGACAAGATCATCATCTTCCCTCGATGGTTCAACCCCTCGCACCATAGAATCGCAGGTGGGTCTGTAAGACTCAAACTCGCAAGCGGCTTTGTCGATAACAGAGAATCGAATGACTACGCTTCGATATCGCTCAGGTACGATCTACTCAAATCACCGATCGAAATCTTGCTGAGGAAGAGGTTGGATTCGGATACTGAGGAGCTGCAAAGGAAGTTCAAATGCTGCAGGGATAAAAAAAACGCAAGCTGGAGTTTCCTGAGGTTTCTCGCCACCTACGAGACCGAGCAGCGAAGTTTAGTAAAATCTGGCGACGAGTTCCCTCGGAGATTTCTATTGATCGCATATTCTGTCAGCGTGGTCTGTTTTCTGACGGAGGTTCTCATCCGTCTCATCGGTAACATCGAAATCACAGAGACAACACAGGATCATCTCGCGTCGCGGAACTTCACGCGACACAACTTCAGACCGAGGCGTGAGAACGAGTGGCAACGTCGGCCTCGCATCTCGAGCGCTCCGCGTTGATTATGGATGCAAGTAGTTCGAAGGTCAAGAGCAGATTTTTCCGTCTCAGAGATTGAGGAGAATTGAATCTCCGCTCACATACATATGTAGATCTAGATGACCACTAAGTCCATCGAAACGGGTCGCGAGGAGCATTCCGAATACGGACCGTCGCAACGAGCACACAGGTCGGAGCTGTTCGGCAGCGATCCCCCGGGGGAACACTTGTAATCGACGCGAAGGGTCAGGCTGGCCCCTCCATTTCACACAAGGCAAGGTCCTCATGCCTGCAGATGTGCGGCAGTCGGATAGGGCACTACACTGGCCAGAGGCGTTGCTGAGAGACCTCCGAGTCGCTGATTCATATGGAGGTCTGAATCAATTCACATTCGTAGTTTTTGTGGAAAAAAAGAGATGCTAATCGGTATACCGTAGAAGTGCTCGATATGTTAAGAATGTTCTGAGCAGGGAGCACGGCAAGGAGCTATCGGTTGTCTTAGGATCCTCTTTTTCGAGTGTGAAAGATGAAAATCATCGTTGTCCGAGCCTTTCCGAGAGAAAACTCTAGAATGCCTGTCGAATATGAAATAGTCATAAATTGATCGTTTTCTCCGGCATCGAAGCTATTCTTACGTCCCGCATCAAGATTATATGATGATCAATGGGTCGGTAGATGTTTCTCATTGGAATGCGCGAATCCTCATCTCCAAAGCTCATCGTCGAAATTCGCAGCCGTTGTTGGTTCCTCAGCCTTGGTCGGCTGAAATACAATTCTTTTCTTTGGATCGGCCAACTGGAAGATTCTGAAGGGAGCTTCCGTCGCTGAAAGGTAAATTGGTTTCATTCCAGAAGGCCCTGTTTGAAGGTCATCACATTAGGGACTGAAATCGGCATGGAAGACTCAACGCGCTCGCGACTCCGTCGGCATCATGGAGATCTCGATAAGGCACTCCTAAGGAGCTCGAGGGGGCCTACCGCTTTGATTCATGGCAGATGCATGCGGAACTTGCGGCTTGCCGGGCCGAGATTTCCTTGCGACCTGTGGCACACAAACTTTCACTGCTCTGCAGGTGTGCCGCACATCGTCGAACTTCACGACCCTGACGCCGCTTGCTGAATCTGAAAGCATCGGCGGCGAGAGAAGCTCCGGGCGGAGATCGGTTCCAGTGACGACACTCGTTTCCTGCAGTGGTTCACTAGTTGATTGAGGGAGCGAAATACTCTCGACGTCTGCGGGCTGCACCGCAATTTCCTGCGACTCTCGTTCCCGATCATCGCTAGATGCAGTGAGGATGTGGAGTTCCTCTTGTCGCTCCAGGGGCAGTTGAAGCGTCGCCTGAAGAGCAGCTGCATCCGGAAGGCTTTCTTGGACGACGACGACGTCGGGTTTCCCCGGAGGCTTCGAAGGGCCCACCGTAGGTTTGCGTGGTGTCCTCTCCTGGTCGATGACTGAATTCGCGTTTTGCGGTAAAGGCGAGGTGTACAGCTTTGCAGGCGATGGCGATTGATAATTTTTGAGGCTTGCCAACAAGTTCTGATAATAGGACACGGGTATCTGGGATCCACCGTAGAACTTCGCGTTCGGATGGAAAGGGGCTTGCGCTTGGTAGAACGGGTAGCCGGGCGACCCCATGCCAGGGATAGATCCTGCAGACAAAAGGGAAACGCTTCGGAGGATGCAATACTGAAGACTGACGGCGAATAAGAATCCTTCCTGAAGATATGACCTGCCGGCGTCCATACAGTATCGACCCACTCTGACAACTCGTCCTCGGAAAACAGAACGCCGGCGTAGTCACTACTCGGGAGGCAACTTGACCCATAGGACTGAGTCTCGATCTCTAGAACTCCTGTTACGCGTACCTGGAGGTAGCGCATCATAGAACACTTGACCCGTGGACGCAGCGAAACTCTCGATCGCCAGGGCGATCGTCCAGAGCCTCATTCTGGTCACATTGGCAGCATCAATGCATTAAAACGAATGGGCAGTTTCTTATAGAGCCAGTTCGGTAGATGTTCTCCACGACCTAAGGAATCGGCCACGCCTGTTAGACATTTATCGTGAAATGCCTGTTAAGGCGTAGCTCTGCAAATTCGTTCGCGCTTAATGTCGGAATCGGGCCTATCCGATTCCTAAGCTCAAAATCGAGGTATTTCAGAGGCTGATGCGAAAACGCGGAGCTCGGCTGAATATCTCTCGAGATAAATCAGCGTCGCGTTCCATCCTCACGATCCTGATCGGACGCAGCTGCTGTCAGAAGATACACCAGATTATGGGAAATGAGATGCCGAGCGTGGGATCTTCCCGCCGTCCTCCGGCGCAGGTCGGGGCGCGACCGGTGCTCATCCGGCAATTCGCTACGGCGCGGCGGTTCATCGTAGAGACAGATCATTCGAACTCGCCGGCGGTGGCGCAAGACGGTGGTAGGGGAACTGTGGTCCTGAAGTTATAGGGCCCCAGACTCGACTATACGATCATTCGACCTAAACTGAGTTCATCGTGAATTCGACCACGCTCACCACGCACTCGAGGAGCATCAAATGTCCCGGGGCTTTCCAGACCGTCTCTTGTTGTGGAAATCTCAATCAAGTCTATATTTGACCCTTAGCTGCCCGAGTTATACCTCGGGTAACTCACAGCGCGCAAGTCGTCGCTTGAACCTCGTAACTACGTACACGCTGGCCTCAGCGAAAAACGGTTCGTTGAAATGAATGTTCGACGCAACGAACTTGGTCGACCATCAGGCGAACGAGAAGCCGACCGAAGTATCAGAGAAAAACCGTACGTTGAAAATTCGAAAATCTGGTCAAAGGCGGTACCTCGTGAGGAGGCTATACTTTATGAGTTTATGAGTATTCGGGGAGTCCAATCTACAGTGGACTGTATCGCATGGTAGCAGAGTACTCGATTCGATCTGGAGAAGATTGGGATATAGAGAGAGAAGTAGCTTGATCACAGTCTATGAAAAACGGCTGAAGATCGCTCTGCGGAGGGGTTTGCCGTGAGAGATTATTTCTAAGAGTCAGGATTGGGGAAGTCATCCGAGATAGGGAAATATTGAAATGAATGATCTCAGCAACGGCAGCACCAATTGTTTTTGACTCCAATGGGTAGGGTCATCCGGGCTCGACGCACCGTCCACGACCCCATCATCAAGGAGAACAGTCACCAATAAGATCTATCGAATTGATTCAAAGAAAAAAAAAATCGTCTCGTCGTCCCCCGATTTTGAGTCTGAAGATTACCTGCTTTTCCCCAAGCCGCTGCTCGAGTTGTCTTCGCATGTGGCATCCTCTGATGGCAGTCCTCTCGACGATATTCTGGCCCGTTTCAGTACGTTTGTCAGATTTTTGTGAGCGAGAGTAGACGGACCCCCTCCCGTTCCAGATGAGGGATTGCAGCTCGTTCGACTCGAATTCCTATGAGCATCGATGGAGAGTCGGGTGGGAGCCGATATATGACTGTATCTATCATTTGGCTCTGCCGGAGATTGAACTCAAATCTCATCTTGCGAAGAAAATAAATACAACCGGTGCTCGACCGAGTATTCCTACATTGTATAATTAGCCACCAATCAAGATCCGCCTCTCGAACCACTTTACTCCAGAATCCCAACACCGCTGCCAAGAGCACAGATCTTCTTTTCTTGGAGACCAGCGGGGATACCCCGTACCTTGGGACGCGGAGCGAGGTCAAGCGCAAAAGGCCTCCCGCTGGTCGCGGACCCCTTTCTCGCGCACGTGGATTTGTTTACGTCCAGAAAACAGAACGAGCCAGCAGATTACCGGGAGAGTGCGCGTGCTCTGAAAACACGAATGGAATTTCGAGTGGAATTGATTGCTGGCATCAGCTATTAACGAGGTAACTCAACGACTTTTCGTGTGATGGAGAGAAAACCCGGCACCTCATATCTCAGGCTGCTCGTGCCGCTTACTCGGGCCGTGGGTCCAACCGTCAGTCGAGCTCCGACCAGGAGAAATTCTGATCAGACCTTCGTATATTTTCCCGCAGGGCTCTAAGGGGGAGAATCAGTTGGAAACATTCCTCTAGTAATCATCAGCCCAACAGAGTTTCAGGATGCCCCCGAATAACTCGAAGCCAGCTTGCACGAGCAGTGTGTTCCAAGGCTTTCCGGAAAGACCCTGTCTGAGTAAAATCCAAGATGATAACTTCGGAAGAATTCCCAAGCACCAGAACGCAGTTCTCCAAGAGGTCGCGAAGGCTCATCTCGAGAGTTTTGACTGGGCGATGGAGGAAGGTCTGGACTTGACTCTCGCAGAGATCGAGCCCCTGGAGTTCATGGTCGGTCAGTACGATTCCCTCATCTGTGAATTCGATCGTCTTGGCGCATCAGATCCGAATACCTGGGCTCTCGTCACCAGTCTCTGAGGGCCTGATTGGCGAGTTGCGAGCCGCGAGCATGGTGAAAAGTAGAGGTCGCTCGGGGTTCAACGATAAGCTCTTCTCCAGGCAAATCGAGGGTCAAGATCCGCGTTAGCAAAGCTGAGGTTCATCCACCAGCTGTGAGCAAGATGGCTGTCAACTGTAGATCACTGCAGGTTCGTTCAAGCAAGTTTCCTAGATAAATACTGTATACGGATTCGGGGAGATTCCGGGGAATGCAAGTATTCGCCCCAACTTCAACGAGGTCCGATTTTTTCCTCTTCGATGCTCCTCGGACTAGAGCCTTGATTAAATGAGAATATCTTATGACAGAACGTTTTTTTCGCAGATTTTCCCGAAAGAATGCAGAATCCGTCGCGTTACCTATCGCGGTAGACTCGAACTACGCTTCGACTGGTGGCTGAATGGATTGAAGCAGGAACCGATCACGAGATCATGCGGAGAGATACCGATAATGGTCAAGAGCAGAAAATGCAATCTTCACGGTATGAGTCCCGATCAGCTCATAGAGCGCGGAGAGGAGCTAGAGGAGTTCGGCGGATACTTCGTGGTGAACGGCAATGAAAAGGTGATGACATCAAAATAAAAAGCGCGTTTCCGAAGGAATTCGTGGAGAATCCCCGCACAAACCTCCGGGATAAGTTGAAGCTCATGTCTCACGATTCAGGTCCTGCGTTTACTCATCATGCAACGACGCAATTATCCGATCGCTATGGCTCGGAATGGATGGAAGGGCAGAGGGTCGATGTTCTCTGAGTTCGGCGTGTCTCTCCGTAGTTGTCGGAAAGACCACAGCAGCCAGAATATGGTCCTGCACTATTTGACGAATGGGACCGTGCAAGTCATGATCACGAACAGGAAAGAGCTCTATTTCGTTCCTATCGTTCTCTTGCTCAAAGCTCTAGTAGACAAGAGCGACTACGAGATCTACAAAAGTCTGATCAAAGGCTTCGAAGACGATTCTTTCTACAAAGGTAGGGGTTGTAGCGGGGACCCAGCCGCGGTCTATGCTTCATGGAAAAACCAGAGTCCAACGAGCAATTCCCAAATAATTCGTGAATTCTCTCATGTCGAACGCAGGCTGCATCACCAATATGCTCCGACTCGTTCAGAAGGAGAATATCCTGACCCACCAGGACGCCAAGGAGTTCATCGGAGACAAGTTCCGCATCAAGGTTTACGTTCCCGAATGGGCGACAAACTCCGACGTCTGCGACAAACTCCTCGATCGATGCGTCTGCGTTCATCTCGACGACAATGAGAGCAAATTCAACTTGATGTGCTTCATGGTCCGGAAGCTTTTCGCGGCTGCGAAAAACAAATGCGCTCTCGAGAGCGCTGACTCGACAATGAATCAGGAAATTCTCCTCCCGGGCCATCTATACCTGAACGTGCTGAAGGAGAAGATCGAAGGCCTCCTTCTCGGAGTCAAGTTGTCGACAGAAAAGAAACTCCAGAGAGGCGATCCCAACCTGGCCAATGTAAATTACTCGTTCATGTCCAACGCGCTAGGGAATGCTGGGGATCTTACGCATGCAATGAACTACTTCTTATCTACGGGAAACTTGATATCCAAGAGTGGACTCAGCCTCCAACAAGTATCGGGCTTCACTATCATCGCAGAGAAGCTAAATTTCTGGCGGTACATCGGTCACTTCAGATGTGTGCATCGAGGATCTTTCTTCATGCAGATGCGCACCACAAGCGTTCGAAAACTTCTCCCGGAAGCCTGGGGATTCCTATGTCCTGTTCACACTCCAGACGGCGGGCCATGCGGATTGCTCTTGCATCTGAGCGCCATGTGCGAGATTGTTGTCAAGCAGTATCCAACGAAACCGATCGTTGAGACTTTGGAGAACCTCGGTATGATAGAGGAGAACTCTCCCACCTCGTTGGATTTCCGAGACAGCTACCAAGTCCAGTTGGATGGTCGATGTTTGGGCTGGATCCACGAGGACGACGTGGAGAAGCTTCACGTGACGCTACGGTACCTGAAGGCGTCCGGGAAAATCGCGCCCACTCTCGAGATATGTGTGATCCCTCGAACAGAACAGAACTCTCTGTATCCAGGCATATTCCTCTTCTCCACACCGGCTCGTATGATGAGACCCGTCCTGAACAACCGGACTCAGGCCGTCGAATGGATCGGAACTCTTGAGCAGGTTCACATGGATATCTGCGTTGTTCCGGAAGAAGCGCACGAACTGACTACCCACCAGGAGCTCAGCGAGACAGCTATGCTCTCGATTCTCGCCAATCAGATCCCATGGCCTGATTTCAACCAGTCTCCGCGTAACATGTATCAGTGCCAGATGGGGAAACAGACCATGGGTTCCCCCATGCACTCGTATAGGAATCGGGCAGACAACAAATTGTACCGTTTGATGAATCCGCAGAGCGCGCTCGTGCGTCCAACGGCCTACGACCACTATAAAATGGACGAATATCCATCAGGTACAAACGCTATTGTGGCCGTCATATCCTACACCGGCTACGACATGGAAGATGCGATGGTTCTCAATAAGATGAGCGTGGAGCGCGGCTTCAAAGCCGGCTGTGTATATAAGACTGAAACAGTCAACCTGAGGAAACTCGCGGGCGACGTAGGGGTGCAGACATCCTGTGTCTTTGGGAGGAAGGCGGGCGACGAAGCTCTGGCCAAGTTCGTAGACTACGACGGACTTCCCTATATTGGAAGTAGGGTCGTACATGGGGATCCTGTTTGTTGTTACATCAATCTGACCACGGGTCAGCTCAAAGTCGTGAAATACCACTCAAGTGAGCCGGCTACGATAGTCGAAGTGAAGATATTGGGCAACGACTGCGGGACGGATACGCTGCAGCAAGTTCAGTTCACCTACCTCATCGACCGAACGCCAATGATCGGCGACAAGTTCGCTTCAAGGGCTGGACAAAAAGGTGTCTGTTCGACTCTGTGGCCGACAGAAAACATGCCTTTCACGGAAAGCGGGATGGTTCCCGATATAATCTTCAATCCTCATGGTTTTCCGTCTCGTATGACAATAGGTGAGTCCTCGCTCCCAAGTCCCACCGAGGGGTTTCAACCCTACCTGGGTTTAGATAGTTTGAGTTGCTTCCGAATATTTTTCGAACATGATTTGCCTGTAAGGTATGATGGTCGAGTCTATGGCTGGGAAGTCGGCGGCGCTCCACGGATACGTTCACGACGCGAGTCCCTTCAAATTCTCGGAGGACGATCCGAGCTCCGAGTATTTCGGAGAGCTCTTGCAGAAAGCAGGATTCAATCACCACGGCACTGAACGAATTTATTCCGGTGAGTGGATTTACTGGGAGGAATCCCCATCGTTCTTAGGGGAATTTAAGGATACGGAATATAATACAATATGGATATTGTATTATATTGGGAGAAGGGGGATGTACCTATGTTGTGGCCAGAATTAAGAAAGGAGAGAAGCAACGAGGAAAATAAACCTCTGTTTCCCTCAATGAAGGCGTCGACGGACGAGAAATGGACGCCGATATTTTCTTCGGCGTCGTATACTACCAGCGATTGCGGCACATGGTCGCGGACAAGTACCAAGTGCGGACTACAGGACCGATCGACTCGTTAACCAGACAGCCTGTGAAAGGTCGTAAGCGGGGAGGTGGAATCCGTTTTGGGGAGATGGAGAGAGATTCCTTGCTTGCGCACGGGACCGCTTTCCTGTTGCAAGACCGACTATTCAATTGTTCCGATAAAACGCTCTGCCAGGTGAGACTCGCAAAAGTCGAACTTTCCTATGAAAAATTTATTTTCAACGAGAATCCCCTACGCTCCTCATTGAGACTCTTCATCTGAGAAACTTCATGGAATTCAGGTCTGCGCCGCATGCGGAAGTGTCCTGTCCCCGGTGTACATGAAGCCAGAGCAATCGGTCGTACGCATCTGGACTTGCTCGGATTGCAAGAGCTCGAAGGATATTGTCGTCATTCCGATACCCTATGTATTCAGGTAAGGATGGCGCCCATAATGCACTTCGGGAGGATCATCATCGGTCAGACTCTCAACCGGATCTGAATCGTGAGGAATTTTCAGGTACTTGGTTGCTGAGCTCGCTTCGGTCAACATGAAGATCAAGCTTGACGTCAAATCTCTCGAAAGATACAAAGAGATTGAATAAACTATATTTTTCTCCGTTGATTGAGCCTACCTAATGCTCCGGCAAATTTTATCCATGTTCCCCCTCACGCGCAAGTATTCCTGAAAGATTATACGCAGGGGAGGATTTTCACGCGGTCGAGCCGAAATTCCAAGAATCCGACGTGGATCTTCGCAGACAGCAGGTCCGACAGAGCTGGGCGATGCTGTGAATATCCGGCAAAAACGCTGTGCCCATCTCAGGGCACCCGATAATGTAATGCAACGATATGGGGAGTTCCATTGCTGGTCCTGGGGGTCTTCTGGGACGCTCCGGATTAGAATGCGATACGTTAGGAGTATTGTATCCATTAGATGGGATTCCACATTAGTGTCCGCTGTATCATCAGTGAGGCTGGAGCAATCAAATATTCGCGCGTTTTTTTTTCGAAGTAAACAAAAACACGGGGCAGTCTGTCGTGAAGAAATCGTCTGCACCAGTGTCCTTTTGTTATTGGGGAAATATAAGCGGACTTTCGAAGCAAATTGATAGGTGAAAATGCTTCGTTCTGCGGCCAGATTCGGTGTACTTGCCGTGAGGCAAGGGGTCCTCTGCCAACGCGTGGCGCCGGCCATCGGTAAGTGATAAAGATGAGCTGAAGGACCTCCAATTCGTGGACAAGCAGCGATCCCATGAGGGCGTCTTGAGGTTATGAGGAATCTGTAAGGCATTCTTCTGCACCTTTCGAACGGCTCCTTGCTCGTTGCTTCCCCTGGGATCGTTGCTCACCGATAATCCCACCGACGAAAGAACTCACGGAGGTTTCATTCTGCAATTGTGCATGAGGGTTTTTCTCGGCACGGTGAAGAGCTCCGGTTACTCCTCTTCGATTCTTGTTTCCTCTTTCTCTTTGAAGGTGCTCGATCCTTTTCTGCGGCAGTGGAAGAAACCGATGCTGAAATCGATGCTCACTTCGAAGCGTACTTCAAGCGTGCGGATCTCGATCCATGGCTCCTCCGCAAGGGTCTCTACGACATTCACAGGAGAGACATGATCCCCAACCCTGAAATTTGCAAGACCATTCTCAAAGCTTGCCGCAAACTCGACGACTACGCCCTGACCACACGGTTCCTCGAGGCTCTGAAATTCAAATGCCGCGGCGAACCTGCCCTCCTAGCCTTCATCCTGAAGGAGATCAAACCGACGATGGACGAGCTCGGAGTCAGCACACTCGAGGAGATGGGTTATGACAAACCGGAGCTCTGGCTCGAGTACCCCGACGATAGGCTCTGAGCTTGTTTGAAATGAACCAGAAGAAGCATGTGTTATATAGTAGAAAGCGAAGGGTGAATAAAGTCGAATTAATCTCGAGGTCCTGAAACCACTCCTCCTCTATTTCGGCGAAATGCGGACTCCGCGCAACTTGTTCACTTCATCGGCACGGGAACAATGCGGGTCGTGAAGTGGCTCCTCCCCAATGCAAACCGGAGCGAACATTGAAACGTCAGACCAATTTGGTAGCCGATCGTCATCCGAGTCGTCATTTCTGAGCCATGCGCCTTATCGATTACTCTCTCAGAGAGCGAGACTTTTTTAGCTAGCTCAAGCTCCGCAAATGCCGAGAGGATATCTTGGCCACGGTCCATGAGCCGCAGTGATCGTAGTCCTGTACACCAATCAAGGAGCGAGAGGACTTCGTCTGCTCCCCCAGACGTAACAGCTGTTCATGCATCCTCTCCGTCCACAATCCTTATCGACCGCAGTGTCATGCGATACCCCAATTAGTATGCTCAGATGAGTAAGTGTAGAGTTTGGGTTCGATCCAAGCAGAAACGAAGCATGATACCATAAGCCGCAAATCCAGAATCCAGAGTTGGAGCTCGCAGCGCAGGTCAGGCACCGCATGGTAGGTAGGAGCCGATAGCGGAATCCCCATTTGGACCTTTCCCCACTCCAGATCCCGGCTGCCCCGAGCCATGGAAGATTCCGGAATCGATTCCGACTCCCGCAAAGGACTTCATGATGACGCTGAAAGCAACAGCAGCGACAGTGTCATCGACGGAGCCGACGGTAGAGGGGATTCTTACGTGAGTGCCTTCAGAGAGTGCCCTACGTCCCACAGTGTCGATTCAATTATCTTGTCTAAGCTAAGCTCGAGGGAAAAATATGCGTGTTCCAAGAATGAGACTGCTCCGAACAGGTAGCTCTACAAACGACGGATCCTGATGCAGAGGGAGCCGAAACGAACAAGCGGCCCAGGAAGAACCGGTCGCAGCTCCACAAACGTTTAGGTAAGTGAAGATCAGAACTATCCATCGCTAGCTGTTTTTCGCTCCCCGTATGAAGGTATTAATTCGAGAGAAGTGATACTTAGTCCTCAGAATCCACCTTAATATTACAGAGAAACATCTCGAGTCTGCCAAACGCATCCGATCAACTCGGGGTACCGAGGAGTCCAAATTAGAAACCAAAGGGGTTCCTATAGTTAGTGAGGAGCGGGTCGAGAAACCTTTGGTGCACTGGGAGAATGAAAGGTGGAGAAAATACAGAATAGCCTTCCGAAAGGAGGATTCTTCAACCTCGTCACATTCCCACCGGCGAGCCATCATCCCGAAGGACGATGCGGGAATTCTTATTCATTTTCTGTTCCAGTGAAGACGAATTCATTCCGCCGCCGCTGAGTCGGGCAGCGGCACGGGAACTGACCCAACAATTGATACGAGAAGGTTATGATCTACAATTTAGAGAAGAGGAAGACGAATTGGACCTCTTGCCCCCAACAACGACTCGCAAGGGCGCGTGTTGCGGCCATGTATGTGTGATATCCTGATTGGAGGCGGTGAGCACCGCATCGTCTCCGGAGCCAATAAATGGATGGCGAGCCCTGTCTAGGCTTTGAGAGCTTTTGATTTCGAACATTCCACAGCTAAGTCAAGCTGCTTGTGCTGCGTTCAATCTCATCGGCCCGCGGGAGAATCGTTTCCGTGGGGAAGAAGAGGAAACCTGCGAGTCGCCGAGAGAGTCTATTGCCAACGAGAACGGTGATCGAGAAGCTCGCTTTCAGAATCAATCTAGGCAAATACATAGAAGGGTGTAATAATTGGAGATAGAGGGTTTCATATATGTATGTAGATGCAGGATTGAATGATAAGCGGGCGAGCGAGTGTGGTCCGGGATTGCATCCATGGAAGCGAATAGCTCTGGTGATACGATCAGGCGATTTCCAGAAGAAAAGAGAATCCTTGGCTAGATGCGAGAATTCCGGGAGAATGGGGTCTGAAGGAAGAGATCAAACGCGAAAGGCTCAACACCAGGGGTGAGCGCAGAGGTGATGGATTCATATAGGAACTTCCGGCTCCGTCGAGAGAGCCCAATTCATGGCATCATCAGCTCACGAACGCGAGAACCCCGTAATTTTCATTGGAGCCCCCCTCGGACTTTTCCTGCAGCTTCTTCGATTCCGGCTCGGGGGTTTTCCTATAACCGACCGGAAAAGATCTCCCACCAGGGGTGAGGAAGAACCAGCGAGCTCCCAACATCTCGGAATTGTCGTCGGAGTGGGTGCATCAGAAGATCGTTCGTCGGACTCCGCTCCAATGCGCCGACCCTGGCATTCATCGACCCCTTCCGTTCGGGACGTCCTCAGCGCTTTTACCCATTTTACTGGTAGACTGAAATGGGGATTCGCGAGAAAATCCGCTTAATGAGGGCATACGACTTCTGCATGAGCTTATCTCGGATCAATTCATGAGCTCCGCGCTTTTTATGTCCTCGATATCCTTATCATGTTCCTCCGAGCCTCCATTGGCATCTTCAAATACACCCTGAATATCGACGAGCGCCGCATCATTGATTCACATGCCTTGAGCGCTGGTTTCGGAATCCTCCCGAGAAAAAAGTCAAGGTGGTTCGTCAGAATTTTCGGGAAGCGCTCTTTGTTCGGAGCTCTCCTCCAATGATCGAAAGGCGGGGAATCTAGCCATAGTCTCTCGGGTATTCCGGGTGACGCGACGCGGAAATTTGAAAGTACCGAGCCTTGCCGCGGTGATGCTAGGCGCGTATGGACCCAGCGGGGAAAATCTCCTGATTCGGTTCAGGCTCCTGAACAGTCCTGCGAACGGAGAATCGCGAGGAGCTTGGAGCCGGCGCGCCGATCCGGATCTCTCCTTTGCCCTCGCTCATACTGTCGCATGCGAGGCGTGCCGTACAGGAGGAGCAGGGACGCGGGTCAAGGCAAAGCACTATCGGCTCCTGCCACTTTCAGAGATCATCGAACCAGGAAAAATAGGAGCCCGAGCTCGACGGAGCCGCGAACATCTACCGAGCGAACCTCACTCAAAACTTCCGCCCGATATGCCTACGGTAGTTCTGGATTGACAAGATCGATGCTCAATCGAAGCTCTGGAACGCTCCTCGAAACTCCTCTCGGATTAGGGGGACATGCTCATGGAACATCGATAGCGCCGAACCCTAGATACACAGCGCAGCGTGATTCCTACCTGGCCCGTCCGTGAAAGAATACATACATTATTGACGACCACGAATTACATGTCGAGAGTATTCAAATATTTACTACAGCATTATCATTAACTGGAAGTAGCTGACCAGGGCTTGTTGGCGATGTCTGATGACTCCGTGCCAGCGCGACAGACACGAATTTCAAGAAGTCCGGTTTCAATATCAGGACTCCGGCAGGCTGTGAGCGCCGTCGACGGAAGATTTTCTCGGCTGTGTGAGATTCGGGCTCCTCGACTTCATGGAGCTGTTTGGATGTATAAGATATTTCGAAACCGCAAGTTCCACCGGAAGCCGCTCCTCGATCCGTATACTGTATCCCCGCCGGAGCGAGCTCATGATCGACCCGGGTCGGAGAACTTAGCGCATCTCGAGTCTACACTGCTCTTCGAAGTTTGTCTGAATAAATCCATCGATCGCCGATCCGCGCGGAATCATCATTGATATTGCTGACGAGGCTTAGCTCCTCAGTCTGTGGGTTCCTGCGTCACGTGCATGAGAGGACCTGTGTCACGTGGGAGTGCGACTGAAGTATCGGGAGCGGACCTATGCCTGAACGTTCCATTTTCGACAGATGGAGCAATTTAGATTGCAAAGCTCAAAGTGTCGTTTTGACAGGAGTCGCTCACGAAGCGGGGCCGTATGTCCCGATGCATTGATTGCTTTTATGGTGAATGAGCTGTCTCTCCATGAATCATTTAGCCAGCCTGGCCACAAGTGGAATAGAACGTGTTCGACAAACAAATGAGATCGAAGTTCTTTCGGAAGAGGGTATTACGATGACATTCATGATGCCGTCATGTGTGTATACTGGATGACACGGCGGTGATGTCAAATAGCGGCGCCGCGTTCGGCGGACCGTCGTCTGAGACTCCTTTGAGAGAACATCTTTTGAAACAAGCGACGACATGATGGGAAGCAGTCATTTTTCCCCAGCTTCCATGAAATTTATCATGAAGAATATTAAGGCTCCGCTGAGTGGTAGAGCGGTCTTTCTTAGCGCCACCACCATAGGTCAGACGGCCAGCCTATTCGAGAAGCTTCCGCCTGTCACATCCGAATTGCCACGAGAGCTCCTGATGTTGCCGTTAGTGATCTCCGTCAACGTCATTTACGTTCGCGGCGAGCCGGTAGGAGAAATCTCGGTCAGATTTTGTGACAGACAAAGACCAGAGGACGATCCATATTCCTTGACAGGGGTACAAAGACCGAACGGAAATTCAGAGCTCGGAAGTGATCAAAGATCCTCCTCATGCTATTCACGATTCACGAGGAATTCCGAAATGCCTCCAGAGCGAAGCCCTCATCCAATTCACCTAATAGCGAAATACACTCAAAGCCAGCCCACCGTCCCTCTCCAACCCTCGGCGGACTCGGCTCGCGGATGCTGGATCTAGATGATTACTAGAGGGAATATTCGCGCTATCTGAAGGGTGAATTCATTGCTGAATTAGGTTATCTCAGCCGTTTGGTCGACGGGCCATCCGAATTCCGCCCTCCCCCTTTCGGTACCGGTCTCACTGGCCCTTTCGTTGGTCTCTCTGTCGTTGTGACTATGAGTCTATCTTCGCTCGCTCGGTGTGTGCCTGGTCCGGGCCCTCTCCCCGACTGCTCTCCCATCCTCCCTTCTCCTCCTCCAAGACGACAGGATAGCAAAAGGACTAGCCGGTGTCGACCGTGGTGTCAAACAGCGGTTCCTGTCCGTTCGACCGGTCGAGGCTTGAACTTCGATCGAGCTCCGAAAGTTTTGTTCGAATCGTTGCTAGGATCACATTTTGCTTGGCTAAATGAGCGAGATTTAGTGCGTGTTGAGCTTGTGAGGCAATCCAAAACTCAGTCAGCAAACCTCTACCTCTACTCAGCGGCCCGTGCCCGGGATCAAGGTTAGTACTGGAACACTTCACTCCGAATACTAAAAAGGCGCCAGCCGGGAGGCGGCCAATCAGCGCCCGCTCCTTGGCCCTCGGAACGGATCGCGAATGTTTTTATCGCTCTTGTCCCATGCTCTTGATATTGGAAGGCGCTGCCGAGCTACGTGTCATGTGGAATAAATATCATTTGCGACAAGAAGATCTCAGTCAGTCAGACAATTCGGAAACTTCGGTTTTCTGTGGACGAAGTCTGTTCTGATCTTGACATCTGGTGCGCTTTCCTGGAAAATCCTTGTCATCAGCACTGAATCGCGACACACTGTCTTGACATGTGGTGGTTCATTCGAGCGCAGCTCTATGCCTTAATCCAGTGGCTGTCAGACGATTCAAATTCCCGGTAGGAAGATGCTCTCATATTCTGCGATATTCTCTTTTCCTCTCCGTCTTCGTCAGTCATCACTCTCGGAGCGGACAGTTCGTGCGCTCTGAGGAGGCGGAACTGTCTCGGAAGCGGCGGCTGCCGCACAATGCGCCAAGAGTTCACTTCGACCGTTCCTTCTTCCGAATCGAATCCGTGAACGGAACTCTCGGCAGCATGAACTGCAGAGTGTTTCGTTGTTCGTTGGGAGCCGGTGAGTTTCCAGTGGGTAGACGCATGAGCGAGCATGGCTTACTCAGAATCGGAATTCTTACGTTCGAACGTTCCGTGAAAGTGTTCCGAGAGAGATCCGTGTTTTTCGATCGGGCTCCTCTGTACTCTGAAAGCGATAATATACTTGAGGGTTTCTCGACTTGAGAATGAAAGCGTGTAGCGGATGGCAGCAGAAGAATATCGAGAAGCTCAAGGAGGAAGTCTGCCGTCCGGCGCTCCTACAGCTGACACCTAGTTAGACAAATAAAACCCTCTGCATGTCTCTCAGCACCGTGTGCTGGTGAACGGACTTTGAACCACGACTCGGGACTCGACTCTGCTCGGCAAGGCGTCTGGAATAGAGGGTAGTTCACCGCTTGACTTGCGGACATCAATGTGAATAATTTTCCGAGAAGTCGGTGTGTCGTTCCCCCGGTGAATCGACTTGTTGAGCCGGCGCCGTGTCGTTGCTAAGTGCGTTTGCGGATTCAGTTGCCGGCGGTCTGGTGGAAGAGGCGTACGTGAGGTCGATTCCGTTTTTATGGAGAGAAGAAATTTTCCACTTGGCTACTTCATCCAGAGGTTTCTGAAGAAGAAGAAGAGGAGCAGAAACCCTGTGGGCGTCTGTCGTTCCCTCGTTCTGTCGGCTCCGGTGGACCACGCTACTTCTTCGTCTTTCTGCTCTGTGAGCGACGCTCCGTAGAAAAAAGGCACACGAACGTTCGACGTGTTGGCTCGCTTGGGCTGATCGTTTGTCGGTGGTTGATCTGTTGTTTCTAGAGCATTTGTTAGAAACCGCCCGCTCATTTTTCTTCTCCGCCCGAATCTTCCGCAAATTCACTCATCTACGGTAGTAGATCCGCTCATTCATTCATTCATTCATTCATTCATCCATCCCTTAGAGGGATTACGTTCCCCTAGCCGGACTTCTGGCAACATCCCCATGCCGATGATCCGTCGCCGATGTTCGCGCAGCTGGCTCTTCGAGCGTCAGGCTCAAAGAACGTATCCAGCGTCGGCATCGTAATAAAACTTTTGCCGATATAGCAGGCCGGTGACACTCGATCAGCATAAGCTCGAACCAGGGAGAAAATTCACGCCGTGCCGTACGGAATCCCGAGATCACTCTCCTAACAGCTGGGCGGGGAACCACGAGTCTGCGCGGAGCTGCTTCCGAGTTCAATTATGACCGGATTTCCGTAGAGCGCACCTCCAATCGACATACAGTTATCACTGATCACTCCAACACGCCATCCGATCCCTGTTTCTGCGATCGTTCGATGGAGGTCAGGACGCAATGAATCGATGGTGAACTTTCTGAAAAAGGTTCAGATGGAAGTCTGGACGAGCCTTTCGAACTTCCGGTGTGCGGACGGGAGCCGCTCTCGGAGCCGTTCCGATGGCCTTCGAAATTCGATTTTTTTCTGATCGATCGGGAAAGCATAGCCAGAAACTCACACCCAGCCGGAGCTCGGGCTCTGAATATACCGAGCTTATAAATAAAACCGGCGCGAGAGGCACAGCGCGAGGGGTACCCCGGGCCAGACCAGGCCTCGGCCAAGCGAGCGTCTGCGAAGATCTTGTGCATGTAGTGAAGGTTGCCGTCCGCGACAATCGTGCGCGGAAACAAGTACTCCTGGGCTTTTCTACCGAGAGTGTGAATTCGAGGACATAAGACTTTTTCCACCGCTCAAACACGTTTGATCAGAATATGATAGGAGGCCCTTGATCATGACTCGTCCTCGTATATGTTTTCCTCGCCTCGTTGCGAATGCTCCCCGACTCGGACCTTGATGCCCACGCTTCTGAGGGTGTCACTGCTCACAAGTTTCGAATCCGGTTCGGTTCCGTTGAACCACAAGAGCTCGTTGTCAGAAGCTTGTCCTCCAAGTCAGAAACTCTGAATAACGAACAATAACAATCCTTTTGTCGGCTTCCGGACAGAAGAATCGATTGATCGAGGGTCAGTACAAGGAACCGTCTTTCGAGATATTCCGACGTGGCGGCGCCCGCGCGGCACTGCCAACTTTTTCAGCCTCGTGCGCTACTTCGGAGCTCTCACTAGGGAGAAATTCCGCTCATTTTGGGGAGCTTTTCCATCGATATATTCGGTCTTCTCCAGGACTCCGGAGGAATTGCATGAGTCCTCCGAAATTTTCGGCATTCCGTCCTCACGCACTCGATTTCTCGTTGAGCCTTAGTGTTGAACCACTCCGCTCGGTGGAACCTACCGTTGGTCTTCTCAACGTCGAGACAGCGGGGAGCAAAATACACAAAGACTTGCGCTCCTCGTGGTCCGAGCTTGGGCCCTCCTGATTTGTGATTGAAGCCGAATCTGCCCCCAGGTTGAGCTCACGGTAAAATATGAGCCCGTTCTTGGCGGTACTCCTCAACTCTTGCACCCTAATGCTGATCGAACAGCAAGCGTGCGTGCAAGTGTGGATCCCCTTAGTGAACTCTTGTTCGTGAAGGGGCGCAGCCATGCAGCCGGAACTGGGCTGGCTTGAGACCATCAGTAGTTCATAACTTTTCCTGTGACAGTCAGAAGTGGCGGATACGCTGGTGGTCTCGTCCGACTGGTCCGCTGCTGGAGAGGAATCCATAGCCGGCTCCACGGATCCCACGGACGAGTTCATTTCGAACGAGAGGGGAGCTCTGAAACAGGAACAACAATTCTTGACCAGAGAATGCTCGATTTGCGCATCAACATTGTTGCTCTTTCCGTCGCGAACTCATTTTTAATGCCTGTTTACCAGTAGCGAGATATGGACTTCCGGAGAGACTTCCCGACGGAGGAAGCACATGTTTGACACGGATTAATGGGCTCGTCTCTTGACACCTGATGCGCGATTGTCTTCGCCTCAGTCTTATCTCGACAGGCATGAGATTCCAACGAATCTCGGATGTGCACTGGAATGTAAATTCGAATTTCCTCTCTAGTCAAGCCGAGAAGCTCGATCGATATTTTCCGAGAATGATGCCTGCGTTCCAAGTGATCAGACAATTTTTCGCGACGTTCTTCGGTCCGCGCGGGGCCTTTGGCACGCGACACGCCCGGGGTTGTCGCGATTTCTGGTTTCGCCCTCGGCGAGCGGAGTCTCCTAGATGTCTTGGGGAGGGAGAACCTATACGACGATATTTATTGGTCAGCTTCGGCGACAACCGCTCCAGGGACGCGGAATCAACTCCTCCCATACATAGACGTCAAGGCTAGCGTCCTGTTCGGGTCGAGGAATATTCCCTTCACCCTGCATCGATTACATCATTGACCGACTGGACCTCTAGAATTCTAGAAGTCTGACAAGCCGTGGCATCATTACAGAGGAAAGCGGAATTCGATGTCTGCTTAATCCATTCCGGCTCTGAGTAACGGTAGCAATCGAAAAGTCCTTCGCGTGCGCGCGGCAACCCTTCGTCCTCAATCTTCGGCACCGCACCTCGAGGATTAGGAGTGATGGAATGTCGGCTGTGTGACTCCTTGAAATGCTGATCTGAGCTAGAGGTCTTTCCTCTAGGGTTAACGGCATTCCGAAACTTCGTATTTTAGCAAGGTAGACTCAGAGGTGACATCCCACGACATGGTGTTCTTGGCGGTCACATTCCCCACACGCAGAGAGAATTTCCCGGCGAAACGGTCAATTCTCCCTTCTCCGCTCTGTATTGGGAGTATCTGCAGATCTTGGAACATCAGTTTGAAATGGTCTGCAGCAAGGAAGAGCGTGAGCAGCGTCGCCGGTGGGTTGTCACGTGGAAAGGAAGTAATTAGCAAAGAGTCCCATGCTCACAGGTCTCTCGTCTCGTGATCAATCGGAACCCGGCCGATTCGATACGATCCTTGTTCTCTTTGAACAGTAGCGCGGGAAGTACATCGATAGGCAGAAGCTCAATGAAAGTTTGAAATCCGTGTTATCCTTGCATTCTCCGATCCCATACGTCCCTCACGAGGACTGTCGAGCTGTAAGTCGTCCGGGTGGATCGGAGGAATCCCACTCTCTGAAACTCGCAAAGTTCGCTGTGCAACGGGAACAATCCCATGAAGAATTATTTGAGTGGATTTCTCACCGAAATAACGTTTCTCTATTGGACCCTGAAATAATGATCGTGGAATTGTGCGGGTATGATTAGAGCAAGACTTGATTCGCTTCCGCTCGTTTCGCAGTCACTCGATTCGGTGCCTTTCATCTCGGCGAAGAGGAAGTACACGCGTGTTGGTCCCGGCGTTCTACAGCGTGACTATCTCCTTTTGTCCACAATATTCGTTCGTGGAGACATCCAGGCGGATTCGCGCGCGTATGTTGCTCTGTAGGAGTCTCTCGTTTCCTCCAGAGGAGGGAAGTGTTTTGAAACAAATGCTTCACTAAACCGGAAAACGAGCGCCGACGGCGAAGAGATCGTAGGAGATTCGAGGATTCATGCAGAATCTAATGGTTCCGACGAGGTCTTCGAGCATCCGCGGCGTTTTTCAGGTAACGAGCTTAGGAGTCTCATGAAACGATCTTCCTATTCCAGGATCATGCCGGATTCGGCTAAGCTGGCGTCTCCACCCCAGGGCGTGTTGAAGAAGCCAGGCCATGTCGGCCATGTCACAGCAGCGGACAAAGAGGAGTGGATCTCTATGGAGAAGAGCAAAGAAAAAGATGCGAAGGATAAGAAGAGCCGATTCCAAGTTGCCAAAGTAGATTTTGCGAAGGGTTTGAAAGATACGGAAAATCAGCATAGCAGCAGGTAAGATCTCTCCCTACCGGGATCTCGTTCGATTCTTGAACTCAAGCACTAGTTCTGTGCGCCTATATGATGGAAGGAGATATCAGAACCCGAGTCGATCGGTTCCTCATTCCAGTGACGATGATGAACAACCCGGAGGTGGGGGAAACTACAGCAGCTCGTACGACACTCACAACATGCGATCGCTTCATCAGTATACTCGGGAAGCTCTGCCGAGACTCGATCATTACCGAAACGTCATGTCTGTCCATGGCCATATGGACAGACCCACCCTCGACGAATTGCATAATGCCACATTGTCGCTTCTACCCGAAAAGGTTTGTGAGCCATTTACAGAGAATGAGTCAGTCGGCGCGAACTTCTTGGTTTCAAACAAACTCACATCGTCGCAACCGTCGATGAGTCTCTTTGTTGGGATTCCTTGTTGGCTTCTTAAGAAATCCGGTCCACTCTCGAGGATAGGCTGGAAAGCTGTCGGTTCAGCATTCTTCCCGCGTGCTTCCGAGACTTGGAAGCGGAGAGCTCTCTTGAATTTATTCAAAGACTCCGGGCGTTCGAGAAGATAAAGAAGAGAGCATCCTCTCAAGAATCCATTGTTGTTGGGTGACGGTGGTTCGCGGAGGGCTATCGAGATAGGCGCTCGTCATAAAAGTACAAACTTTGGTCTAATATATCGTTGTCTTTTTTCGTCTCCGTCCTCAATTGAACTATGATCTCGTATCAGGACCGTGAGCGTCAACACGATAGACCTCCATGATGAAACCCTTCATAGCCTCTCCAGTTGAGCGTCAGCCTCCCCATATCATAATTCGAGCATTGGAAACAATCATGTGCACTGCTTCTCGTGGCACAAGATAGCCTTATCTGTCAGACTCTTCCCCCTAGGATAAAGTTGGAAGCAGCTATTCGCCACTTTGATGGACGACGCAGATTATCTCTCGGAAGTGTCGAGGGCGGGGTCGCATTGCTCGTAGATTAAGGCTGAGACCGTCGTTGGAAGGTCAGTGACGCTGTTGGCCCTATAATAATCTAGGGTGGAGGAGCAGGGTGTCGATTGGTACGGGTATGCTGACTTGTTCGGTCGAACTCTCAAGTTGCTCTACCACAGGTCGTTCCGATTTTCCGATTGGCATGATCTGGCTCTGACCCGAAATTCCTTATTTATAGCAGCGCCTCTGTTTCTGTTGATGCCATGGCTTACCGCCACAACCGCATCCAAAATGTTCTCGCGGCGGACACAGGTGGGCTCACAATTCGGAGTCAGGCATACCTAGCTTCAATTAGTCTTCCAAAGTACACGTTCAAGGCCGTGGAAGGCGATGGCGCTTTCGTTGTTCGAAGCTGTACCTCACTGCTCGCACGGATATACGACTCCGCGCGGTTCCCAAACGGGACCTGGGATGATAGAAAGATAACTCGACCGACACCGCAGACTTGCCTTATTATCATTTGAGGTCGATGGTGTGGTCCCCATGAGCTGGACGAATCAGTCGAATAATTTTCCGATTGAGTAGAGATGGCTCCGCACACGGATCAGGTCCTCAGTCCTCAGCTCTGAATTGTTGAGGGCGAGCGCATTCTTCTTCTCGAGCCGCGGTCGATTTTCTGGAATCCTCCATAAAGAGGCAGAACGCGAAATTGATTTGACAGGTCTGAAGCGGCTCTACGACTGCGCGCGTGTTTCGTATGTGAATCCTGGGCAGCAATAACCGCGGAACTTACTCGGAGGGGCTCTCGACGTCTGAATACTAAGTCATATGAAGTTGACTCAAAGTCCTGGAGCAACCCAGGAGCCGAGCTCTGGTTCGAGAATTCCATGCATTCTCTATGCGGTCGAAGTCTCTGTCTGCTCGAACAAATGCGAATTCTGAGGGAGGAATATGAATTCCCTCGAGAGCCTGAATCGATGCATGAACCGAGCGCGTCCGCCGTCCAGACACGATTCATGTAGAGGACACTTCTCTTCACCCGAAAAATGCACCCACCGGAGTGGTGTGTGGTCCTTCGGCAACGAAGGAATCCCGCCATCGGAGAGCTTCGAATATTTAGGAAAGTGGCGGACCTGAATCAATATTCTACACCCTTGAACGTCCAATCGAGAACACCTTCAAGATGGTTCGAGGTGTCAGCTTGCTGGGTGAACTGCGGTTGCATGCCAGAAAGAGGTCTCGATTGTATCATTGCTTCCGAATTCGTTCCTTCCCTGTGCTCGAGCTACACCCTCGATCCATGTCCGAGATACGCGCTCGATAAGATACTGGCTCTGTCAGATACTGAACATTCAGAAAGAGCATTCTCGGAGGCACTCGAAAGGGTGACTGATGGTTTAGGAAGACGTGACTTTCTCTTGAGGCCTAGGGAACCACCGGTTTCTTTTGAGCCGAGTCTGTATCTTGTAACCAGATAATCGGCATATCAATGCTAGACAGTTGACATTCTCGACAGCGAAACCCGAATTTCGTGCTCTGTGTATATATGTAGAACCGGTGCTGCTTGCGGCGATGGTGATGACGAGCATGACAGTTCCAGCGACCAGCACGCAGCACTTAGCTCTCGCTGTCAGCTCGTCGCCTGATGCGTCGGAGGAACATTTATCCTGATGAGGAATCCTTTTTTCATTATTTTCAACTAGTGAACGTTGAATCTACGGATGTTCTGTCCTCCGGGAGACTAGCATGCGGTTTGGCGCGTGATTCCATCATTTCATCTTATGACGTCGGCCAGCTGGATCGCGCGCGACAGCGCTTGTCGCTTCGCTTCTCTGAGCAACTGAACAATAACACAAGAAGAGAGAGTCATCACATTCACTCATCCCGGGCGTCGCGTCGAGAGAGTTTACCGTTTCTCACATCCGTTTTTTTCATTGAGTTTGACGCATGCTCTGGATGAGTGATATAATCACATCGGATTAGGTCCGCGATTCCGATATTTTCGAGTGGATCGAGTTGATACCCGTTCAGAAGGACTCAACTCTCCATCTTAGCGGCTAAACGGCGCGGACGATCCGATACACGAGCGGAGAGGCCATCCTTTCTGCATATCTTGAGCAAGCTGCCCGACTTGACACGAGTTCGTGACCTCGGATCCAGCGTCAGCTTTCCACGAAGATTTTCCTTGCCGTGTTCCCTACTTGGGTGCTAAGGAATATTTGATGGTCCTCTCCACCGACGCTGTGATTCGGCTGCGGTCGGACACGGATCCAGACTTCGCACGGGCATGAATCTGGATTCCGTAGAGAGTTTCTCTCTTCGTATTGCTCGCCTTTGAGCGAAAACTGAGCCAACAGAAGTCAAACTAATGATGCAAGCGGTAGAAGCAACTTCTGTTTGCATCAGAAGAATTTTTTTTTTTCTGGAGCAAACGATGCGCGGATGGCACTCGAGCGAAGAACCCAGGAGCGACGATCATTGGCCCATGGGCGTGGGTTTAAACAGTTGAAGGCCTGTCAAACGAAGCGGCGACGGATGCTAAGACGAACTACAGGCCGGATAGCTGTTGCTAGATAGGGACTGACAGACAGATTCAAGAGAGTAACGTTTCGAACAGGAGAGAAGGACTCGCTCAGATTTTGCTCGGCTGGGCTCGGACGGCACGAGAGATCCGCGTGTTGGTTTTCCCGGCATCACGGTCTATGATGCTTTTTTTTAGCGGCGGTGCCGCGCGTTAGCGTCGACGACAGCAGCCATGGCTCTACCATGGATGAACAATAATTACGAGCGTTGCTTGCCGGCAATCAAAGCGAGGCCAATCATTGACATGAGGAAGGCACCTTATTCGAGCAGCCGTGGAGCGCCATTCGGCACGGCAGCGGGCGAGGCGGCTTATCCCTTATCGCTGCGACCATTATGGTAGCTGCTTCTGCAATTAGTCGCTAACGTGTCGTTGTCGGTTCCGCGGAACCGATCGGAATTCCGGTGTGGATGAGAGAGGATCCTCATTCAAAATACATGGATGGATTCTCATGCGATATCGCGAATTAGGCGATTCTTTTCTCGATGTCGTCGTATAAAGTATAACAAATAATTGACTCGATATGCATATCGAACTTTGTTGGAGTGAGCATTCTTCGAGGCTCCTGGAGCTCGTCAGCGACCAAAGGCCTCGGAGAATACTCCGGAAATTATAAGACTCCGCCGAAGGCCAATATTCCGATCCCTGGAGCATGAATTCCTTCTTTCGAGAGCAATTATAGCGAGCCTGTCTTCTGATGGCTCACCGGAGACACGGATATCGATAGCAGGTTTTAGAACACTGAGGAATGTTCATAAAGTTCAGAAGCTGTAAATAATGGGGTGCTGTAAAAATTACAGTCCCTGGTAGCATATGGTTCGCTGGTCGAAACTTCTATCTTCTTCAAATGCGTCGGGATCTCTCTGTCAAGTGATCAGAATAGGCTTTCGTTCTCCTGTACCCCCGCCCCTCCCGCCTGTCCCAGAGCCTAACCTCGAAAGACCGCATGAGGTCATCACACTCTACCTTATCATGGGTTGGAGTCCTGACTCCAGTCGATAGAGGTGTCGGTCTTCTCCGCATACATAGGACGAATCTGAGGACTCTGACTCAGAACCGATCAGAGCCTTGCCGTATTGGAACTTTTCCGGACGAGCCCCTCTGAGCTTGTAGAGCGAACCTTGACCGAGCGGGATCCATTGACTGATTGCGAACATCAGCAGCCAACCGGTGTCGCTTGCCGAGCTGCGAATTTCAACGAATTATCACTTGGTTGGATACACCTGAAACAATCAGCCGCTGATCAATCATCCGATTACTAACGCAAAGCGTTCTCTCGCAGAGCAACGTCAAATCTCCGGGCGAACTCGACACCAAAGGACAGCTAAAACTCGGCTGGATTCAAGGTGTACTAGTACGCGTGCTCCTGAACATTTGGGGAGTGATCCTTTTCTTGAGGCTGTCATGGGTGGTCGGACAAGCCGGAATCGGTCTGACGATGGTCATCATCATATTGGCGACCGTCGTGACGCTCCTGACCGCGATTTCGATGTCCGCCATCTGCACGAACGGCGAAGTGAAGGGCGGCGGTACCTACTACATGATTTCGCGATCCCTCGGTCCCGAGTTCGGCGGGTCGATCGGTGTGATATTCTCCCTAGCCAATGCAGTCGCCATCGCCATGTATGTCGTCGGATTTGCTGAATCTGTCCGAGACGTCCTCGTATCGAATCAGGTCGAACTAGCCGATTTCCTCGCTCACGACAACGGGATCAACCTCGTGCGACTCATAGGCATGGGTACCTGCATCGTTCTCTTGTGCATCGCTCTCATCGGAACCGAATGGGAATCCAAGGTATTTGTATAAACCAGCCTGATCTCCGAATTCAATCCGCCATTGAGGGCGCTCTGAGAGATTGAGATCAAAAAGAGTTCTCCTCGATCCCCCACAGGCACAAATGGTGTTGCTGGTGGTGTTGCTCGGTGCCATGCTGAACTTCATTCTCGGAGTCCTCCTGCCCGCTCCCGAGTCAAAAGTCGGCAGGGGTTTCCTAGGACTGTCTGGTGAGCTCGAAATCCTGCATCGTCATCAAAACCGAATTCGTAATTTAAACAAGATCGTCTCTCTTCGAGTACTGAGTGAGTTGATTGCGTTTTGGCAAACGCACTTGACGTCGGATATTTTTGTTTACAGTCTCGCTGATCGCTGAGAACTTTGGCCCGGCTTTCAGTCCTGAAGGCGGCAAAGAGTACGGCTTCTTCCAGGTGTTCGCTGTATTTTTCCCAGCAGCGACTGGAATCCTCGCCGGTGCGAACATTTCCGGCGATTTGGCGGTAAGTAATACTAAACATGCATTCAGTTCAGAGCATTCATTTGAGCTCATGGAAGCGAGCTCCCTAGGATTTCATCCTTCTCGGATCGAGCGTGGAGGCCGCCATGCCTACCCACAGAAGCAAGCCTGCGATAACCTATGTGTTTGAAATTATTTAAATCGAGTCCTTTTCTTCGCAGGACCCGTCGGTATCGATTCCTAAAGGAACAGTCCTCGGTATCATCATCTCGTCCATCTCGTATATGATTTTTGGCTTCCTGACGGGCGCTTCCAACCTTCGCTACGCCACTGGGATAGCCCCTCCGAACGCAACCGATCTTCCAGTTGAGCGGCTCATGGAGATCGTCGGAAGACCCGGCCCTTGTAGCCATTCGGAGTGTCCGTACGGCATGTTTAACGACGTCAATGTAAGTCGTTGAGCTAGCCTCCACATGATCTCGCTGTATAGACGATCTCTCCCTTGGCTGCTGCCTGGAGAAGAATTCCATCCCTCTCATAATTTCCTGTACTCTTCCAGATCATGGAGATGGTGTCTTTGTTCGGTCCTCTGGTGAACGCTGGCATTTTCGCCGCAACACTGTCATCGGCACTCGCGTCCCTCGTGTCAGCACCTAAAGTATTCCAGGCTCTGTGCAAGGACAAACTCTTCCCGCACATTGACTTTTTCGGCAAGGGTTTCGGTCCGAACAACGAGCCTACGAGAGGCTACTACCTTGCCATGGCCATCGGAATGTGTAAGCGCTTGAGCAGAACTCTCGATTCACTACCATCTGATAGAGAAGCTCATTCGGTGTGGCGGGAGGATCCGCGCTCGATATACCCCCGGTAGTCATTCCGTTTCATCGATTCCAGGCTGCGTCGCGATCGGGAAACTCAATCTGATCGCTCCGCTCATCTCTAACTTCTTCATGGCGGCCTACTGTCTCATCAATTTCGCCTGTTTCCACGCTACGTTCGCACGTTCGCCAGGCTTCCGTCCGTCGTTTAAATACTACAACATGTGGACCTCATTCGTCGGCTCCGTACTCTGCCTCGGGGTCATGTTCGTAATGGAGCCCTACACAGCTTTGATCACGTTCGCCGTGATTTTGGGATTGCACATATATATCGGCAAACGTAAACCCGACGTGAACTGGGGTAGTTCCACGCAGGCTCAGACGTACAAAGACGCTCTAAATGCCGTTTACAAGCTGCAGCAAGTCGAGGATCACGTCAAGAACTACCGACCTCAGATTCTCGTGCTTTCCGGTGAACCTAACCATAGACCGCCTTTGATCGACTTTGCCTATTCGATCACGAAGAAACTCTCTCTATTGATGTGTGGTCACGTCGTACGACCCCCACTTTCGTACCGAGCACGACACAACCTAACACTTCGCGCACAACAATGGCTCCAACGCCGAAAAGTCAAATCCTTCTACTCGATCGTTGTCGAGGAGAACAAACCGAGGGGAATTCGATCCCTGTTGGAATGCTCCGGAGTCGGGAAGCTGAAGCCTAACGTTGTCATGCTCGGCTACAAATACTCATGGATGACGTGCAACGATGATGAACTGGAGGAGTATTTCAACATCATCCATGAAATATTCGATCACCATATGTCCATTGCTATTCTCCGACTGCCGGAAGGCCTCGACTACGCGGAGTACGCGAACACCGACGCTCTGATGTCGCCCACTGAGAATGGAACCAAAGATCAACTCAAGTTACCCGGGATGGATCGGAACGAGAGCACGCTCTTCCCGAGGAATGTCTCGTCTGCACAATTATCTACCGGTGAGGAAGTCTCCCCGTAATCGACATTTGATTTCTCTAACGGTTTAGACTCCTCAATGCCTCATGTGTCGAATATTATCAGTCTGAGAGCTCCTTTTCCACGCTTAGGTGGAAGTTCCCGGGAGGCAACCCCGCCCGCCACACCTCAACCGGAAAGGAAAACTACGCCTTCAGGACGAGATTCCAGAGAGAACGAAGAGGAAGAAGCTCTCGTCTCTCGTGAAAATGCCAAAGAATGCCCGAAAGAAGTACTCCTCAATGTGAATCAGTTCCTCCGCAAGCAACGCAAAGGAACGATTGATGTTTGGTGGTTATACGATGACGGTGGGCTGACGATGCTGGTGCCCTACCTCCTTTCTACCCGGAGCAATTGGAGTTCTTGCAAACTTAGAGTTTTCTCTCTGGCCAACAAGAAGGAGGAACTCGACCGAGAACAGAGAAAGTGAGCACCAGTCTATTTCCATCGATGGAGATACAATGTGTGCACTGTTTATCGAGAGAAGGCCTCTGCTCCGCGGCTTCTCGTGCACGAAAGCATGACATGAAATGACCGAAAATGAAGAATATATTCCCGAATAATTCTTCTAGCATGGCGACGCTATTGAGTAAATTCCGAATGGAATACTCTGACGTTCTCGTGATACCAGACGTGCAGAAACCGCCCAGCGAAGAAATGAAACGAGAATTCGAAAAACTTATCGCTCGTTGGAGAACAGATCAAGACGAGGCACCCGAGGACAACCGGCTCGCCATCACAGACTCCGAGCTGCTCGCGCTCAAAGCCAAAACGTACCGTCATCTGAGACTCCGAGAGTTCCTTGAGAAGCATTCTCGGGAATCCAACCTCATTGTCATGTAAGTTCAGCTCGTGATCGGCACTCTCGGCAGAAGAGCTCTTTGGAGTTTTTTCGACTGATATTATTTTCTCGAAGGGCTGTTCAGCCTCCATTTGAAACATTCGAGTCATAGGCTCGCGGAACTCTCGATGACCAGAGACCAATTATTATATTCCAGGACTCTGCCGATGCCTCGAAAGAATACGTGTTCTGCCAGTTTGTACATGGCTTGGCTGGAAATGTTAACGAAGGATATGCCACCGTTCCTCTTCATTCGAGGCAACCAAACGTCCGTACTCACCTTCTACTCGTAGACGCTTCTGTCTGGCGTCACCTGGAGAGACCAGCCGCGGAAACTTTCCAATCCAGTGAAATATTTAGAACGACGCCTTAGTACGTGGGATCGAGTGCACCAAGAGGAATCGAATCTTCAACAAACAGTCTCGTTGTGCTGTATTCCCCCTCCCTCCATAAAATTTGTTGCTGCTACTCTTGCTTCCTCAACGCTCTGAGACAGAGCAAGGCCAACTCTTGGACCAAGTTCCCTCTTCTTCGGCACAAAAGATATCTCGATGCCGACTATCGTAGCGGCCGATATTTGAATTCCCGGTGATGTCTCGACGAAAAACTATGCAGATGGCCCGCCGTCAAGAGTGAATACGGGTCGAAAGAGTTCAAATATGAGAAATGTGAAGCATGTTCAGATGATGGAGATTTTTACCGCTTCCGACTTAGCCGTCGAGTTCATTGACAGTGCCTTCTGAGTATGCCTTCGGTAAGGTCGAACCGATGCGATGATCGATTTATATCCCAGCAAGCTTTCATCCTGTCGGTCATCCATTCTGGACGAGCTTGCCATCTCGTGAGTGAATTTGATTCACGAACCGATGAGGATTCAGAACTGGTTGTGCTAGTATGATCAGCTCGGCGCTGCTTTGCAACGGATCGCAATCTGGACTGATTGAAAAACCAGAATATTGAGTCGAATCTTCAAATCGACTTCATGCAGGTTTACTTCCCACATGGTCTTTCACCACATTATACAAATGACATCTGATCGTTATGAATCATGATGTTTTGGAGAAGAATTTGCCTTATCTAGATGACGATGGGTTCTGAATGAATGTTTCCACCTTGCTCGACGCCTCGAGGCTCAATGAGGATTTGTTCGCTTTGTGATCGTTCGCTTGCTTGCCGATCGATTCGGCGCAGAACCAAGGAGCTCGAGTCCAGGGTAAACTTAATGTGCGGCACTCTGAATGAAAGTGCCGAAACCAGGAAAATGTACAAAAAAGGTTTGCAGCCAGAATCGTCCTTGATTCATGCGAGTATTTAATGGAACAGATGAAACAGAGAATATATGAATAAAGAAAAATATATTCAGAACCATCGCGGCATTCCGTGGGGACATGAGACAATTCGAGATGAATGAAGTATCCGAGCATTCTTCTCGCCTCTTGACTCTAGAATAGTAGTCATCATTCATAATTTACTTTAGAGCTTCACCAAGAGATAATCACTCGGAGGCGTAAACAGCAGCCTTCTCTTCTTCTGAATGTTCTTATATTTCATTCCTTCAATATTTTACTCGGGTACTATGCCCCGTATCCTCCAGTGGTTCAAAAAGTGCAATATATGCATCAAGCTCAAAACACCACTTTAGAATGAGCATCTGATTCTTTCTCTCTTGGAGCTGAACTCGCATCAAATCACGCATGAGTCATTCGGGGAACGGAGCGCTAAGTCTATAACGCCTCTGCACGGAAGAAAAGGATCGATTCCACTCCTTCATTCCGCCGAATCGAGAAAGACTCTGAGATTGTTCCGCACCGAGAGCGAGATATTCTTCTCAATGACCACATCTTCCCAGGTACGGAAGCCTTCCGGAGGTCCGTAATCGGAGTCGTCTTTCCGAATACCTTCCACGCCTAAAATCATCTGCATGCAATCCGTGGCCGCAGCTGCGACTCCATCGTCAGTATGTCGCGCGCCGCGGAAGAAATCGTTCCCCGGAAACGATACGTGATCCCATGCAACAATCTTGTAAAGCCCATACCCGGAGAAGTCATCACCCTCCTCCTGGAAACGGACGGGCTTGCACAGCTGAGGTAGGAGATGTCGGCGGTAAGGTCGCGTTCGCAGCGATATATGGCCGATTCGCTCAGTTTCCGTTGCTCCGGAAAAAGGAACATATACCACGCAATCGATGCTCGATAATTTCTTGAAGCTATCCCTGAGGATCTCTTTGATGACTCTCTGTAGGAATATCGGGAGCTCTTCGCAGTATCCCCCACCGAAAGCCCCGCACCCGATTCCGGGAATCGTGATCATAGCCTTATTACCGTCTCTGGATTGAGATTGAACGAAATGGAATAGCGGCACCAGGCGCCGCTTCATAAGAGCCGCGTATCTCTCATAACCCAAACGACCCTCCTTGTCGACGATCTCTTCGCGGTCCGGTGAATGATTAAACGACAACAGAGGTCCCGGAACGAAGAGCAGATGGGCTTTGAACGGCGGGTCATGAACCTCGAAATTTTCATCCGAACGATCCCACGCCCCGTTGTCGTAAACGGTGACCTCCACGGCTATCGAAACGTCCCCCAAGATGGAGAACTCCTCCTTGGTCCAATCTTTCCCGTTTAGGAACACTTGCTTCTCGGCGAAAATGCAGGGTTTCTTCGTTCGCAATAGAGATTCCAAGAACTCTTCGGTGGAGAGTTCAGCTACGGACTTTTCAGCGAGAACTCGCTTTAGGCGAGCGCCCGGCTTGACGGAACCCTTCACCAAGGATTCCTTGTAGTCGATGAGTTTCTGTAGAGCGTCACCATGGAGGAGCACCGTGTAATCGGGGGTAGACATCATCCGCTTCTGGAAAATGTAAGAACGTGTTTTCCTCATACTATCTGTCAGAAGTTTCTTTCGCGGTACGAGGCTCTCACGCCGGGCGGATACACCCATTGTTAGTCTCCCGGGAGGCTCGACCTTCCAAGCGACAACTCTCCGTCTTCCTGATCTCAGGAACGTGCTCGAAGTTCAGTCATTCATTTATTGTACTATTTCTCCATTTCATAGAATAAGCTTTGCCACTTGGATTGCTCATGAGAGCTAGACGATCACGCTAAGAGTCTGTGTAGCGGCTTTCGCGAGATGCGCTGGCCCTCCTAAATTCCGCGTTCAGCATCTGACTGAGGCCGATCAACAGCTCTCCCTTTCCTCCTCAATAGGACTTCTCCTCCTCTCCGCGAGGTGCCTGATATCTTCTTGGAATCGTTTCTTCGGTCGTCACCACCGGAAGCGGCGACCCTTAAACCGGTAGAATCAAGAGATTCCGCGACCAGTCAAGGCACTCAGATAGCTAGATTGAAATCGTTTCTGCATGGCTCAAGAATTCCCGTTTATTGACAATGAAATCTCAGGGAGGCGCATTCTCGGCGATTGCGCAGTGCGTATCACCTTCCAGAGATCACCGGGCAGAGAAAAGGGAGCTCCCACGGATTATCACATTAGGCGTCGTGGGATGAGGTCGCTCTCCGCTACTGAATTCCCCTCCCTTCGGGACGTCGTTCCAAACTCGACATTCGGTGTGATACGGAGGTTCTCCTTAACTTCGAGCAGGATATGATTTGCTTTGACCACGCTCTCCCAACTCTCATATTGCTTAGGTGGCATATAACGACCACGTCCATCGTAGTGGCCATAGACTCCCAGGACCCTCGCCATGCAGTCGGTAGCAGCCGCCGATACTCCGTCGTCAGTTTGACGCTTGCAGCGGAAGAAGTTGTTTCCCGGATATGAGAAATGATCCCAAGCTACGAGTTTGAAAAGATGATCTTTTGAAAAGTCGTCCGATCCTTCCTCGAACTCTTTTGTTTCTGAGAGCATCGGGGTCTTGTGTTTCAGGTGAGGTCGGACGCGATACGAGATCTTTCCTATTGAAGTGCTCTTCATCTCGCCGTCGAAAGGGACGAACGTCGTACATTTTATATAGAGCCAGCGTTGATGGTTCTGGTGCAAGATCCTCGCTATGGTTTCCTCCAAGATGCTCGGCAACTCTTTGGTGAATTTACCCCCAAACAGACCGCAGCCGATACCCGGGATGACCACCAATGCCTTCCTCTCCTGGCTGGACTTCGAGTTGATGAAGTCGAACGCCGGCTCCAGACGTCGTTTCATGAGCTCAAAATATTTGGATGAATTCAATCTTTCACCCTCGACTAGGTCTGTATAGTCCGGAGAGCGGCTACCGGTCAATAGGGGTCCGGGGACGAAAACGAGATGGGCCGTGAACGGTACAGCGTGCGTTTTGAACTCAGCATCCTTGGGCTTCCAGCATCCGTTGTCGAAGACTGTGACCTCTACTCCGAGGCAGACGTTCCCCAGAATTCTAACCTCAGCTGGCGTCCAATCCGAGCCATCTCCCTTCAAGCTCCTTTTAGCGAAGAAAAGAGGTTTTTTCGTCTGAAGGAGTAGTTCCAGCATCGATTCTGTCGACAGATCTTCTAGCTGTTTTTCTTTCAAGAGCTTCCCGAAGTGAGACCCTGCTTCCGCCGACTTACGCAATAACGCATCGCGATAGTCTGAGAGACTCTGCAAGACATCGGCTCGCAGGAGGATCTCGTACTGTGGTCTCATGGTCTCACAGAAATGTCTCTGGAAAATCAGAGCAATTACTGAGTTACGGGCTCACGAGACAGCAGCTGATGAATACTCCAGCTGAGACCCTGCTCGCGACGCAAGGTCCTTGTGAGGCTCTTCCACATGGACATGAAGGTGACCACGAGGGAATGTCTCTTCCTGTTCACGTCAAGCCACACGCGATGCAATCGAGCCCTCAAGCTCGTTCGTTGACAGGTTCGACGATGACTCGAACCAAGCGCGTCGCTCCCAGATACCGTCAATGCAGACCAGGGCCTTCTCCCCGCGGATAGCTCAATAGTTATGATAGTCGATGATAATTTCTTCCGTTGGTCGGGACACTCCGCAGCGAACGACGGGCGCGAGCTCAATCTTAGCCGTGGATGTTCAACGCGAGACGGTGGAAAGCTGGAAGCAGCCTAGCTCCATTCACGCCTTCGTCGGGGCAAACCCGGCGCCGCGCCGTGAGTAATGCCCCGAGCCGGCAGGTCGAAGCCATGACGTAATAGCCGCCGTTCGCGGTGATCCAACGACTGGATTTCCGTCCATCCGATTCGGAAAGGCGGAGCTGTCATACATACTATAATGCCTCAATAGTCAAATGGCTCACCTCAAGAAATCGAGGAGCTCTTCTCTCTTTATCCAATCAGTCGCTGAATTGAAGAGCTTAGATTGCCTTGAACGACTCTTCGACTGATGTCCCCGACGAGCCGGCAGTCAGCTGTGTGACGGATTCCAGACGGTAAGAGAAGTCGGGTGAGGGCGACGTTGTCAGGGTTACGCATGGTGCACTACAGTGATCTCATGCGAGGTTATTATACTTTTCTGTAGGTGAAGCCACGCGGAAACAGTGTATTCTCGACTTCCTGGCGTGCATTTCGATGCTCCATCTTCTCCCTCGGACTAGGACAGATTGCGCGAAGCCTTAAGCGGAACCCTGCACAAAATTCGATTTGAATTATATAAATGCATTCAATTGGGTAGATTCGGGAGCCTGTCCTATGTTGTCGGCCAGGAGATATTCTTGTATCAGAGAGGAAATCGCCTGCGAGTTCAGGCTGGGAGATAGTTCCCGCTTGCTCCTCTCTACGAGGGAGGGGAAGCGGCGTATGACCGGTAGCGCCTAATCCTCCGCTGGTGAGAGAGTCTAGGTCGCCCTTCGATGCAGGTACTTCTGTCTCGAGAATCAGCGGATGAGTCTGATCCAGTCTCAGTTTTCGGGAGGTTCTTGTAGCGTTTTCCTACATCACAATATGCAAACAATAGAGACGGATCAAGGTGACTGGAACCTATTTCTTGTATCCATTCCCCTTGAAGACTTGGGCAGTCGGGGCTTGGAGAATGGAAGTCTCTCATTCGCGAGTCAGGTTCTAATGACCTACCAGAGTTTACAAACCCTCCAGGACGCCGAGTTCACTTGTGGAGATCGCCAGGGACCACCCGGATCACAATAGGAGAAAAGGGCGAGCCACAAGTTAGCAAACGAGGGAAAAGTTGCCACGTCTTCGAAGAACTTGCTGCTCTCTCTAATGAATGAAAAGATATAGCTCCGTCCTGTTCCAAGTCTCTGAGGTAGCGCGTGTAGTGCCGACTGAAAGCTTCGTCTGGAGGAGGATGAGGCATAGGATGACCGTCGTGCATTTCGAGAATATTTAGCATAACTAATTTTGCGCTGGAATGAGCACAATATGTGAAGTCGACTTCGAATGACATCCGAACTCCGGTCGAAGTTCGACTGACAAGTTTGGCGTCACTACGGGTCTCTCGTGCAGCCTTATTTCCCTCTCCAAATTCCTATATAAGGGCAGCATCGGTGCAAAATCGGTGTCTTAGGAGCCTAGGAGTTCAGAATGAAGACGACGTTTGTGTTCCTCGTTGTAGTCGCGGTCGTGGTGAGCCTCTGCTCGGCGCAAACGTTCCAGTACAGTCGGGGATGGACGAATGGGAAACGTTCTCCCGGCGTGGACCTCGAAAGCAAAGTCCGTATGCAGTATTTTCTTATCCTTTCTCATATCAAGACCGAACGGATATTTTCGGTGAACTATTGTCTCTGAACTATTGTAACTTTTCTTCTGCAGCCCGAAGCATACAAGATGTCGCCCAAAGATGCCTTCACCCTACTCGACCTAAATCGACGGATCTGTATGTTCCTTTCCGGTGGGCGCGATGAATCGTAAGGACCCCCGCTGGAGGGCTTGCCAGGTGCTCCGACTCCGAGACTCTGCTTTCCTCCCACGCTGATATAGTCAAGAGAAGTCAGTCAACATCAATGCGTCTTCAAAGAAACCAATGGGAACATCCATCGTGTGGAATAAATACAACTGAGCATTACCGAAGTATTTCATTCATAAGTTTCCTCTGTGCAAGCCTTGATTCCGACAATTGTGGTGGGTCGCTCGATAGACGAGAGACGGCGCGGCGCAGCCGCTTTCAATCGTACTGACGAATGCGATCCCTCGGGATAAGAGGCAATGACCGACGGCACGACGGCTCTCCAGATAAAACCCAGAATATGAACTCGAATTCCGCTCCGAAGCGGGGTTGACTGGAGCGATGTCCGATTGTCCGATGCCTTGAGCTGTGGAGGAGTCTTACTGATCGGGCTTCCAATCCATAAGAGCCATCCGCGTAAATCCAACAATTCGGATCTCCAAGAGAGGAGTCCTCTCGTTTGTCGAGGCATTGAAACTGATGACTGATGACTACCTCGAAATCGGACATGAGGAATGGATTCCCGACTCGAGCCCTGAAGTGAGCCTGAGACGCCATTGAGCGTATGCTCGCGAGTGTGTCCATTCTTATCGGTATGCCTGAGCCGATCTCCTGGAGACGAACCGCAGCAGAAACAATAATACGTATAGGTATAATATACTCATAGGTAGTTCGGCAGGACGAGCGATTGAGGTCAGGGAGGATTAAGACTCGCCGGGTGCTTTATCAGCGCTCGCCGACGTGTCGAGTTGGCTCTTGGTGAGGAGCCAGGCTTTGACGGTACAAACAGTACTGATCATCGTCATCATCCGAGCCGCAAACTTATTCTAGAGTTCTTTCTAAAGCCTCCTTTGCACTGATTACAAACTACCTGTTCTACCGAAGTCAGCCCGTCGTCAAAAGTTGCAACATGGTCCGTGCGTACTACATGAACGAGTCGGCCGAGGACCAAAGGTTACCGAATGAGCTAAGTCCACCGAGACCGATAGACTTGGATCAGCTGTACCGTCGAACAGGTGTCATGTACTTCAAGGTAGGAATGACAGCTCAGTCCTTCGAATATTTCCTGAGTCGAGATCGGTGCATTGTGAGAAGGGAGTCTGAGTCCTCTGGATCGCCACGCCTCCACTCTCTCGATCATGCATTTCGCGAGCCGCTCCCCTACTTGTGGGAAACTTCCTTTCGGGAAGGTCTCCGCCATCGCTTGGTGGATCCGTTAGTGCCGACGAGAAGCTCTGGGAGCGCTCGCCACCTACCGTCAGCGAGTTTGGGGATACCACAAACTATGCATAGCGAAGCTGTCCCGCTGCGACCTCTCGATACCGCGCGCACAAATGCAGCGACGGTGTCCGCCGCCGCCGACGCAAAAACCGGTGAATTCATCACAGGGTTCATACACGAACAAGGGAAGTGCGTGAGAACGTACGCAAAGACGGAGCAACTCATCGAGCTCGTTGTTCGGAAAGTCAGGGATGGAGACTCGTAGTCGCTTCGCGATGCTCTGATATAGCGTTTGGCCGCTCAACATCCGAATATTCGGTCGGTGTGAGCGACACGCACAGAGACCTTCAACTACCTCTGATTTCCCCGCATTCACGGGCGGAATCGGCGCTCAGCATCTTTAAAACCATGACGCCGTAGACTACAGGAAGCAGACCACAGGTCGCTGAGGCTTCGCCTATCGTCGAATGCTCGGCCAAGTCACGGAATTCTTCTAGCGAAAAAATCATTTTTCTCGGATCTACACCCCATCGCGAATTTCTAGAGGGAAAGCTCCATCGCGTCTGATGGTCTTTTTGAATATCAATCTCTTATCAGAAAACGAGACTGACGGCTAGCTTTTCTTCCAGATAGACGAATCGGACTGGTCTGGAGAATCAACCGAGGGAAAACTCGGAGAAATCAGCTCGACGCGAGGCTATACATACAAAGACGTCTGCGAGATCTCTCGAGAAATGCTCGGCGCCGATTATGACTCTAAAATGAAGATATTCTTCAAAGAGCATCTCCATGCCGACGAAGAGATCAGATTGATTCAAGACGGTTCGTTTCCCGATATTCGATGGCATTTGCTCCGCGAATGAACCTCAGGGTGAAGATTCTTACATGTTCTAGAGAGAAGGTACATGTTTTCGTTTTCAGGGTCCGGCTATTTCGACGTGCGGGACAGCTCGGACGCTTGGATTCGGATTCACGTGTCCAAAGGGGACCTCTTGATCGTGCCAGCTGGGATATATCACAGATTCACGCTGGATACTAATGATTACGTCAAAGCTATGCGTCTTTTCGTGGGCGAGCCTGTGTGGACTCCGATAAATCGACCCGCCGATGAACATGACGCGAGGAAAGAGTATTTGGACAATTTGAAGAACAAGTTCGAACGGGGCGTCCCTGCTTGAGACAAGCTCGGAAAGATCAAAGGTGACTGAGGAAACCTCTCAATAAAGGGCCGCATATTGTCTTCGATGTTCTCATTGGCCGGGGTAAGGTGGATCTGTACGATGAGTTGGGCTCTCTCCAGACGCTACCTGCATATAAGATACGAGATGAATGGGTAAGCTTCCCTGGGAATAGCAGTGCGATTCGCTAGGCCGAAGTATTCGGGAACCTCGGGGCTCATCGTGTGTCACACCTCACCCTTATATTGGGGCTCGGGTCGGGCTTCCTATCGATTTACAAGTAGTCAGCAATTCGAAGAAATGCGCGGAGTTCTTGCACCGGCGACATCTTCCGGGTTCAGTCTACGGGAACAATGAAACTATCGCATATGATGAGCTTGACGCGAACCAAATCGATTTTGAGACATCTGACCTCCTGTGAGCATTATCTGCTTACGCATCTGAATCGGGCTGCGGAATCGGGCTGAAAACGCTCGTCAGATCACGATTTACACGCGTTTCCCTGTCTCTAAATGCCTCCCATCTGATGCCGAGCCCAGCAGATAACCACAGCCGATTCTTCCATAGAAAGAGAGCAGGAACTTGTGGCGAAATAATCGCTCCCAGAGGATAAAGGCGATAGATTTTTCGGCGAGTGTATTCTTGTTGAACTAGGAGGAGCATCGCCCGGAAAATCCGACCTCTCAAGGAAAACCCGGCCTGAATCTGCCGCGGTGGGCAATGGTCGCGGACACTACCAGCTCTTCTTTCCGCCGCAGGAGTCATCTATGCAGCTGAATCGTCGAGCTTGAATTGGGACCGTTGCGCCGTAAAATATTCGATTTCAGCTCCATCACGGCAGATCGCGACCAGTCCAAGACGGACGAGGATGGTTCGCGCGCCAGTCCATTCGTTTGCGGACATCGTGGACACCAGGCTGCATCCTCGCCAGAACAGCTTCATTCCAGCTTGCGGGAGATCTGCTTCATCCAGGTCCATCCGGAAACATCGGCAACGATGGTCCGGTTCTCGGTTTTTCTTTTCGAGCACCGAATGCTCTTTTCTGCTCCCCACAGTGACACGCACAGTGACGAGGGAGTGTGATCCCGTGTCCCGAAGCATCAGACCCCCAAAAATAGATTCCATCGATGGAGGAGCACTCCCTGTTGCCCTCAGTCTTCTGCGAGCGACAAATGCAAAGATAAGCTGACTCTTACTTCGCGCGACGCGTCTCAGAGAGAAAGCCGAGCCCGCCCCGTTCCGAATTTCGACTTCCCTTTGTTCGACATGCAGCAGCCTAGCGCCTCGCAGTGCGACATGGCTCGGCAAAGGCGTCGGAATGCAGCAAAAGTCGGGAATTTCTCACGAATAAAAAATCGTACATCGTTGCGTACTCCGTATCGTGCATCAATTGCTCCTGTTGTGCACGTGGGGCTTAGCGCATGGCATCGTAGAATTTTCATTCTTGCATACGTTCGGTCAGGCGATCTTAGGTTCCGTCGCTAGCTTGGCTTCTGAAAGCTTCGGTATTTGATTCGAGAATAGGTGGAGAGAGAGAGCGCGCTAGACGATCCTCCCGACTACCCAAATATCTCAAAATTCATGTGGAGCCACAGTGTTCTCTAGATTCGGTGCAAACTGTTCGAACGGGGCAGCGAGCGATTCCGAATTCCGTCCTCCGTAATTTCTATTCAACTCACGAGGGCTGATCTTCGAATTTTTTTCTAGGTCGAAAGCTACTCTTACTGCATGCGCTGCGCTTCGTGACTACCTGCGTGGATCAAGGCAGCTCGGGTGCAAAAGAGATTTATCCAGGACTTAGCATCTCGCAGCCGACCACGGAGAGAAAATCCGAGAGAGGGCAGACTCCAGCTGATGACGAGGACCGTCGAACTTGACGTCGGACTATTCCCTATTGCGTTCATTCTGACTGTGACGTCGAAAAGAATCTTACGGAATTTTTGGGGAGATTTCCTCACGGAGGAGCTCCACACGGCGCGCGCCATGTCGCAGACGTAGCCGATCGCAACGGGACTCTTTCGTGAATCTTCTCCCTCCATATATGTGAATCCTCGCAGTGAGGGAAGACCTCCGTCATTTGGCGGTCCCGTCTACGATTCGGCACAGGCTGGAGGAAGTGTTACCGTGGATTTATTCACTGTTTTTCCCCGCTAAGTAATTCTACCCATCACTCGCTCCGAGCGCGTAGGATGAGACTCGACGAATATAACAGTGACCGAGGCGCAAAAAAAATAAACTTCCAGCTCGATCTTTGCTCTGGAACTCGGATAGCCGGAATTCGCGCTAGGAGAGCGCGCTAGAAGATCTCGCTTTCCCTCGGGAGCCCGAAAATCTCAAACGGCATGTCGAGCCACCGTTTCACGAGATGCGACCCTTCCATCCACCCAATCATCAGGCTGACACAACAGCTCCACCAGCGCGCCTAACCAAGCAACTGCCCGCCCGTCTGCCAGCCTGTCCGTTTGCCCGCCCGTTTGCCTGCTTCAAGACAGACCACAAAAGGGGGTTACCCTCACCCACTTACCACCCGGACCGCCGTCGGTCGGGCTGGCAAGCTAACGGGCGGGTAGGCAGGCAGGCTAGCTGGCTGCAGGCGATCGGCCACCCACCCAACTCCTCTCCTATGCCTGCCTCCCTCCCTCCCTTCCTCATCGGGGCCGGCCATTCACCCCCAGCCAGGTTCTTTCTCCTGTCAGATTCGCCAAGCAACGGAGTCGGGAGCACCGTCCGTTTCCCTCGGTAGGTAAGCGATCCAAATACTGGATTCCATGCTCTTGCTGCCTGTTTTACTGGTCGCTTGGTCGGACGTCCGCCAAGACCGACTACTATCTGACTAGCTGATGCTTACTGTGATGTTCTACGGAGCAACGTCTCCTCTCTGTCACTTCCCGGCGCCTCCCGGAGCCATCGTGCGCGGTCGCACTGCCGCCGCAGTACTGTGTGTGCCGTCGGGCCTGTTCTACGCTTATCGACTGCGCAGTTTTCGAGCTTTTCACAAATGTTAGTGCAACATCGTGTTGGATGGAGGTGCGTGAGTGTTCGCCTCAGAAATTCCCTGGATAGAACGACTTGAACGCCCACCGACCGCGCGGAACCGGTTCGTCGCCGACCTCCGAGTGGATGTCCCCTGTTGGATCGCAGTGTACCTCCTGTGCGTGCGTGTTAGTGCTCTGCGGATGCCGCGAGATCCATCCAGGAGTTCCGAGAGATTTTTTCACGAATTGCTCAGAACAATAATTCCAGCGAGCGAGCGGTGTTGCGACACCGCATCCGTCTCGTCGCGGTCAGAATTCCGGAGCCGGCAGCCTGAGAACGGAAGATACTGCGGGAGGCGCGTAAAATCTTCTCGCAACCGGGAGGCTTCCCGCAGAGGGAAAGATACGGTCGAGTCATTGTTTCTCGCATCCGGAAGGTACACGCTAACATGTAGAATGTTCGATCAGCTGCTCGGAAAGCGGCTGCAATATATAGCAAGCCAGATTCTGCAAGGGCATGCCGAAGGGAAAGGGCCATTGCGTAACGCTTTCTGGGGGAGGTGTACGGAAGCACCGTCCTCTCTCGTCAGAGGCGAGTCGTCTAGACGGCGTTGTCTGGCCGGCTTTTGAAACGGTCAGAGCTCTTCCGCAGCCTAGTTTCTGTGAAACGCTTGAAGGCCGCGGCCTTCCGTTAGGCTTAGGGCTCGATGGCGTGGCTTGGAGGGCCCCGAGCGCGTCCACTCGCTCCCCGACTCCGCTCACTCGACGCTCGATTCCGAAAACAGGCAATGCCGGTTTCTGGCCATGTCGCAAGCTCCGATATCTAGGCCACTCGTGGCAGTGGAAGCATAGGTTCTGTTTTTAACGGATTTTCCCCCAAGATCGTTCAATTTAGGCTCCGTAGAGATAATCATCCGAAGGCAATATAGCCTCAAAATGGCGACTCCAATTTTTGAGAGTTCGACCTGGAAGTCGGGTGATGCCGAAAACTTAATTTTGACCGGTCCCCGATTGATGAATGAACGACACCGATCGCGAAAACGCGTACGGAATCTTCGCGGCCTGCCTTGCGCTTTATGCTCTATCTCCTTCGTCTGACGCAAGGAAACGTGGCGGTGGGACTCCAACTCGCCCGATCGCATGTTCCGCGGCGAGAGCCCCGTTCGCACTCAAATCTCTCGAGAGCCTCCGGAGCATGTGAATTCACAGTCGCTGAGCCATTAATGTAAAATCCCCTGCCCGCGAGCTTGTGAATTCCTTGAGATAGTAGAAGACGCATGGACATTGGAAAGAAGTTCTCGGAGCTTTCACGATTTCTTGACGTTGGGCGCCGGAGGGAAGCTGGAACAATATAGATTTGATCGAGGGAATCGTTCCTAAGCATGATATGCGAGAAAACTACGCCTCAGTATGCCTAGAGGTGAATGACCTGTTAGGGATAGGGTGGCGCAGGTTCGTCGACGAGGCGCGTCTAGCAATCCCAACGCTTTCGAAACAGTCGAAAGCCGAGACTCCAGTATGATTTTCGTGGGGGCCAATGAATGTATGACCGATCGAGCCCTGTGTAGTTCATGTATCCTGACGGACTACGTGTGCCGAGCAATTGCGTAGAGAGAAGATCTCTCGACGAGAGAATGCAATCGACTAGAGTTCCTTAAGGGATCTTGGCTAATCTCTCCTTTTGGCTCGCGCGGTTTTCTGACATCTAGTTCATTCCCCACCGGGAGGGAGATCGGAACTCTAGCCAGGTGACACAGTTCATTCTCAGATTCGATCCACCCTCGAATAGCTCGTCGAATAGACGGGGAATCCGGAAGAGTCGTCGAGGAGGCGACTGCCGACGCTGCCGCTAGTGCTTTGAGGGAGGGACACAGATAGCCGTCAGAGAGACGGGGCTTGTCTCCCGGTTTTTCCGCTTCGGGAGGGCCCGAGTAGAGGGAGCTACGGTCACGCGGACCTTGGGCTCCAACCTGTCATTGGCTGGAAAACGAGAGCGAGGGCCAGCGAATTGGGTCAACCGGCCGGATAACTAAGCCTGCCTTTCTGCTCGCCGAACGGCTTGCTGGGTATGCCTCCCGAACGGCAGCCCCTGTCGAGGACGTCGACAACAACGCCTATGCCGGCGTCGACATGATCGGGAATGCGCGTTATTTACACTACGATCGAAAACGCGAAAATTTGGTTCCGAGTCGACGAGGTTCCGCGCGATGGTCTTACGGAACAGCGATTTATCAGATAGTTTCCGTCCACGACAAAATCGAACCGCATGAGGATGAGTACCAACCGCGCGCACCATCGATCCTGACTTTCTCGATGCATCCGAGACTCTCGGATATCCGGCTCCGATTCAAGGGAATTTCGATCTGCTGATTTTGTCAACCCGGGTTTCCGAGCCGCCTTGAGACCTCCCTCATCCATCGCCCTAGGAGATCCCTAGAAGAATCCCTTATTTCGTCGATCGCGAATTGCGATTCCGAAAACGGCGGTGGAGGGACTGTTCGTGGTGGCCTTAGCCGGCGGGGGCCCTATCGCGTTGGGCGAGTGGCTTCATTGTCGTTTCGGTAGGAACATGATGACGATGCCCTCTGGTGCTGCTCGTTGCTGCCGTCAGTTGTACTCCTCCTCCTCTGATAGACCGCTTAGATGGCAAGCAGGCCAGCGGCAAGGCACCGCAGACAACCATTCCCTCCTCCAAGTATACGTTTTTCAAGCGACAGCGGACTGCTGCTGCGGCTGCTGCCGCCGCCGCCACCGCTGCTGCTACCATTGCCGTAAGGGAAGGAAGGTTGGCAAGCACACAGAGCAGCCTTAGAAGCAGCGGCTCTCTCGACGGCTCTCTGGCGGCGGCGGCAGCGGCGGTCGTGTTGGTGGTAGCAGCAGCGGCGGCGGCGGCTACCTACCGGCGACCTAAAGGTTGAGACATTAATGTGAGTTAAATTGCTAATCACTCGGGATTACCATTCTACGGAAGAACTCCCGGACGCCAGACAGGAGCGCTGTCTAACGGAGGAACGATTGTCATCTGTTTCTGTGATGTGCTTCCCTCGCTCAGGATCGGCCCCGTGTCTCACATGTCCGTCGTCGACTCCGCCGTCCCCTGCACGTAGACGTCGTCTCGGTTCCGATCCGTGTCCCGAGAGCTCGAAACTCAGTCGAGCTCTCAACTCTGGAGGCATTGAATTCTGGAAGCATCCGGAAAAACCGGAATACGCGACGAATTCGAGGCCGGGATGACCTCGTGTCAACATGCCTCTCTCTCGCCTCAATGGAAAAGTCACTAGGGGAAACGAAGCCACCTCCTCGAATTTCTACGATTCGCACAAATTCCACGAGCGAAACATAGGCATGACACGAGCAGGGAACATTTAGTTTTATTCTCTGAACAAAGGTCGAGGTATCCCGGAACGCCAAGGGTGACCACGGCAAGCCTTATCTTCACTTGTGAATCCATCGACGCCACGTGGGGTCTCCGTAACGGCATCGCCGGTCTACAGTGCGCAGTGTGGGTTTTTTTCCGCACACTCGCTCGGGTCGCCCGTGAACTCAGTAACGCTAGGTTTACCGAGAGATTGTTCGCCGGCTCCGAAAAAGGGCTGCCTGCTTGCCTCTGTGGCCGGCTGACTGCACCAGCTACTGCTCGACCCAATTATAAACGGGCACCCGTGAGAGCCCGTGAGTGAGCTGACAGCGAGAATCTAACGGATGCGCTCTCGGCTTAGCCCTCCCGATGCCCTCGTCATGCTCTCTGGTAACACTTTGAAGAGTTTGATGAAAAGTGGCCGCTCCGAGGCTTTGTCGCTAAAATCAGCACGACGCGGCTCAGGCATCCAAGGACTCGATCTCCCTCTGTCTGCACAGATATCGATTTGTATCCGAATCGATCATCTTTCAATAGCGTCCGACGGAGCGGCATCATGGAGCAGGCTTCGGGCATCGATAAACTATCATTTGTAACCGGGATACGAGTAAAGGCCGCCTCCTCGAAGAATATCGAGCGTACACCAGAGATATCATTCAGTCCACGAATTCAATTCTGAAAACAAATTTTCGATCTGTTTTATCTCTTTATCATTGATTGGTGAATTCCCTCTCCCAGTCGGTCTCTCTCGATCAACGACACGATGAACGCCTCATGCCCCGTCAGTTGTGTTTGAAAGAAAGTCGACGACGTGTTGAAATCTATCCTATCCCAGCTGCACGCTGGAGCCGGGGAGATCTAGGCCGAACAGCCTTCGGACGCCGCAGAATTGCCGAGAAAAAGTAGATATCCTTTGCATTACCAGGAACATGCTGACTCGTTTTTCCCTAGATTATCACGAAACGAAGTCATGTAATTCTCAAGAAAGAGAATGATGGGAGCTTGTAATTCTTCGATGAAGCGCCCATCCTCCCCGTAGTGAACGAGCCTGTGAACGAGCAGCCTGTGCTCCCGGTTCCTGACGTAGACGCTGCTAGATGCCTCAACTGATTCATGAGTTTTTCTCATTCCAGGAGGAGCGAGAAGTAGGGCGTTCGAGGTGGGCCCCGCACAGTGACAGAAGGAAAATGTTCAGTTTTCATAAACCAAAGATCTACCGTTCTGTGAACGGATGCTGCATTTGTCGGTAAGTCAACCGCGCTCACGAGTTCCTCCAAATGAGATTGAGGACATCGATTGTTCAGCTTAGTCCTGATTGAACTTGAACTCCGTCGAGAGATTGAACTTGAACTGAATCCCATCTCGGGACCCTTGCAGAGCCAAATCATCCAGCTCCCGCTTCACGGACTCTGCTAAGTATGAATCCGAGTTTGAGAAATGTTTCAAAATCAAGGAACGCCGCGCCGGTGAAATATGCAACGCATGCGTGCTGCTCGTCAAACGTTGGAAGAAACTGCCTCCTGGCACAACTCGGCATTGGAATCATGTGAGGATCAGAAATTGTTCATACTACGGTTTTTTCTCAGACGTTGGATTCTCGAACTTGGTTCCCCGACCCTGACACGGATCTCACGACCCGCTCCCACGGCAGTGAATTCAACCCCGTAAACAAATCTATGTTCTTCGATTCCCCCTGCAGGTGGTGGATGCGCGGGCAGGTCCCGGGACCAAAGGCGCTCACATGGGACGAATCACAAATCCCAACCGTTCGAAAGCCACCAAGATAAATAAGAAGAAACCTCTTAGGCCGCCGAGGAGGCTCCGTGAAATCGAATCTCTTCAAGACAGCCTTGCTGGAGTTTATGGAGAAGAACGAATGAAGAGGTCGTCGAGAAGGAATAGCGATGGCTTCACATACTACGGTAAGATTTCTCGCTATGACATTCCGTAAAATATCTCGAGTTGAACCTCTCGATCCGAAGTAAAGTAACAAATCTCTTTGTTCCCTCCAGAGGATAATGACTTCGATAGCGACAGCTCTGTAGATTCTGATAGGCTAGAAGCGGAACCCGAGACGCCTGAAGTCAGCACAGCGTCCTCGGCGGAGGAAGATGAAGAGGAGTGGGATCCTGGTCAAGACGGACGGAAAATCAAGGAACAAAATCGACAGAAAAAGAGACAATTCAAGTCACAACATAACCTGAAGATGTCCTCGTTCATCGACAGCTCTTTCTGGAGAAAGTGAGTTCGCATAGCCGATCGTTAACGCGCGATCGGAAACCTCACTCGCAACCTGTCATGAGTCGGAACCAAATTGATTCTTAATTTCTCGTGGTCCCATCTGGCTCAGTCTCCCTATGTGCTCTCAGAGATCACTACAGAGTTTCCACATTTTATCGTGTGCGGAGAAGCTGCGCTTATAACCAAAACGATGCTCTTGCTTGCTTGCTTTTTGATCGTGGACCAGCCACTCCAGTCCAAGCTATGCTGAGCTGCTCAAGAGAGAGTAAATGGGAGCGTGTATGGCGATGCGGTAGATGCTCTGTGGGGTTTCTTGTGTGGGGTCGTTGAACCCTCGATGACGTCACTGGCTTGTCCTTGCTCCAGTCAACGAGTGCCCCAGCGAGCAGCATCGTTCTGTTTTAGAGCTGACCGAGAATTCAGGCGCAGCCACAAAACGAATCTTCATCGCCTCGATAGACCTGTTGTCAATCTGTCAGAGATCGGATTTCATGAGTAGTCGATTTATCGATGACTCGGCACTACCGGGGCTATAAAACCGCATACTTCGGATGCTCTCTCGATCCCACACAGTCGGCCTCAAACGACGAACGGGGAAACCTGGAAGCAGTCACGGGCCAGCTGCAACATTTTGATACGAGTGCCGCTCAACAACATTTTCTGTCCAGGATGACAACCCTGTCAACGATCGGCTGCTCTTCGGCTCAGCCGCGCAGTCTGCCCCGTCCGGACTCCTCTCTATTCAGGGGGAGAGCTTAGAGTTCATTGCTCCTTCGATCCAGATGTCCTCCTACCAAGAACACGTCACTCTCTTCTCTGATTTTGCCAACACACAGACCCCAATATTACCGCTTCTCGCTACCACGCAGCCTCGCTCAAATGCCCCGCTTCGAGGAGAATTTCTGATTTTTTGCCACTAAGCCGAAAATCGAAGATCCTACGCTCGGGGATTATTCCGAAGGTGACGAATGCAATCTTTCGTCGATCTTCCGGATTCAATCGACGCCGATCGCCTCACTGCGGCGACATTCATCGACGGACAGGGCATATGCATTCCTGATTGAGAGAAAATTACGTTTTGTTGTATCGACCCAAAGACTGGCTCGCAGAAACCGGCGCAGCGGTGCCCCCCGCCCGCGAGACTGTCGAAAAGTGAGATCTGTACTGCGTTGAATCGAATAGCACAATTCACATGATTCTACGGCGGGCAAGTGAACACCGGGCGCCAGCTATGGTAGCCAGCTCCCTGAATGGGGAGAGCAGGTCGTTGAACTCGGACAGACTCCGTTCTTAACATCAGACGTGAAGGTCCGCAGAGAACGAAACTTGACCAAGGTCATTCGGAACATCTCCTGATGCCGATCCGCGCGGAAAGCCTCGATATGTTCGAAACCGTGGGGTCATACCTTCGATGGTTGTCGCAGAACATTGCGCTTGGTGGGGTGAACGACCTAAAACGGAGTATCCCTCGACAGAGAAAGCAGGACACACGCAGGAGAACCCAAGTCGACCCACACCACACACAAAGAAGGCTGCCTTTTTTTCTCATCGATTCCTGGTCTCTACGCAACGGAACGGCGAAGCGATAATCTGAGCAATGCCGAATATATGAATAGAGAAACACTCTCAGAGCGAGGTCCGAAAGCGCGTCAATCGCCAACCTTGTTGCTGACTCGAGACCCTCCTATGCCGGAATCCTCCACCCACAAAACGCGCTTTTTCTGAGCTCGTTGCTCGGCTCGATGAGTCGCGCTCCGATTGGTCGAGTCTGAGCTCTTGCTCCCGTCTTGCCTCGGAGACTATGCCGAGCTAGGCGTCCCTCCTGGCTGTGTTTGTCGGAAGGAGAGGCGCGCCGGAAAAGCTTGCTCGGCTCTCGATCAGTCAGTCGATGGAATTCATGTCTCACAAGCTCCCGAAAACCTGCTCTCCTACAACGTGCGGGCTACCAATCCGGGAATCTTCAACTTGCAGGGAACGTATATGCTGCGGTGTGGTTTTCAAGGGCCCTCACGACGAGCTCTTGATCTATCCGAAACTACTCAAACCCTGTCCGTGTCGATTGCGGAGGAATTCAACATCCAGCCAGCTGTCGCATTCGCAGGTAAACTCGGAACGACCCATAATTCTGAACGGAACTCAATATTTTAAGGCGTCTGATCTTGAGTAGGTAGCTCGAAATGCTCCGCCGGTGGAACATGGCTGATGCTGACATTTGCGCCCTTCTTCAGGATTCCAACAGTTCCGTTTGTGCTACGCCGAACTCGGATGTCCTACTGCCAACTAGTCCCGAGTCTCTCACGACTTCGGATTCCTTCCCATCAGCGTTCGCCGCCAAGAACCTCCAGCAAGCCGTGGCTGTTCCGAATAGCCCTACGGCAGAGCCCTTCTTCTGACAATGAGTGGACAACGACATGTTGCAGCAAGTGCGAGTCAGCGACAAGTGTGTATCGGTTCGAGTGAATCCGTGCGCGAGGCGTGTTTTGAGAATGCATGCAATAGATAAGGATCATGATTACCTGGTGGAAGGAAACACTACGATGGCGTCTCAGCGAGCAGAAAGAGCTCGATTCAGCTGAATCTACGCTGAGTATTTCCCGGAGCCCGGATCCCGATCCGATCCGGGAACGCATAGCGAAGTCAACGCTCAGGAGAGTGGAACAGGGCTTGAATGAAAAGGGTGACATGGTGCCGGGCGCGAACTCGTTCCGAGTTCGCCATGTGCAATTAGGATGCGTTCGATGAAATGGATAACGACGGATGCTAGAAAATAAGGAAATGATTAGATCGAAAAGAGGAAAAGCGACCTTTCGGGTCTCGACGGGGAAACGTTTCGGGACTGCGGGGATTCGAAAGGATCCAAGGCCGCCAGCGGACCCATTAGACACACATTTCCGACCGAAGTGATGATCTCAGGTTCACTACGGAAGTCAGTGAGCCACCCCACTCGGTCGGTAGGGAGGAATTGATATCATTAAGTCAGCGTCTACGATTGGGACGATGATAAAGGGAAGTTCTCATTGAGAAGAGATCGCGGAGAGCAGATCGTGAGAGCGAGAACCGACGTGTGGTATCTAGAGAAAATGCTAAGGAGAAAAGCCCGAGCCGATAGATTGTCTCTCGTGAACGACAAATTTCGACGAGATAACTGTCGCTGTCGGTAGTAGATTCAGGAAGGATTGTCGTTCGGCGACAGCTCGGACGCCCGAGTCGACACACTTGATCAATACTTGATATCATCATTTACTGTCGCATCGTTTCTAGGAAGCGGATATTAACGACAACATAACTATAATTATCTACAATAATAGCGAGGTAATTCCGAACAATAACAACAACAAGAACGATTTCGGAAACGGTGTAGAACTTGAATGGCGCCGAAGACGTCAGGGATGCAACTACCCATAGAACGAACAGTCAAACTTGCTGAGCGTGCAAAAGATTACGAGGAACAAAAGTGGACGGTTTCGGTTCTATCCGTTTTTCACACCCTCGAGGAAACTCAACAATAATTCTGGACTTATCATCACCAAAGATCTTAGAGAATCCCCCAAACTTTCCAACAGATAGTTCGCTGCAATTGTTCCTTTTTTATTTTCATGCCATAGGCGACTATGCGTTCCTAGCTCCCCTCTTTGCCCACGAGGAGCTTTTGTGCTAAAACAGCTCCAATACTCCTAAAGGGAATCTGATCGTAGAGTTGCTCGAAATCAACGTTTTTCCGTTTCGGGCGAGATGCATATTTGGGGGAGAGCGACGCTCTGGGTCTATGGGGGGATTATACTCCCACAGCCGGCTAGCTGATGCTCGAATGTTGAGCCGATCGATCGATTGATTGATTGAACAAGTGATCCTTCATTGATTGACTGCTCGATCTTCCCATACGCTCCCTGATGGGCTGATTGAGCGCTTGATCGATTGTTGTTTCATTGAACAAATGATTGTTCGGTTGATTGGTTGATAATCTGATTTATCGGTTGTACCGATGCATAATTGTACCATCCGTGGATTCACGGATGTCGGGGTTTATAATGATTTCTCGGCTAAAGCGAGCTATGATCGGCTGCTAGTAGATTCCGAACGCGCAAATTCGAGTACGACGATGCAATACCTTCATTGAAGTTTTTCCGATTCTAGTCAAAGCGGATTCTTGGCTCGATTCCAAAAATTTGCTGCTTAGTGAGTTGTGGAGCTCGGGACTACATGTTTATTTCCCTTGAAACCTTGTTTGACCGTTGTAATTTTTGTTGAACAAATCTTGAGCATCTTCTATTTATTGCATATGACCGATCAGTATGGCTGCTGTCCGCTCGACTGACTGACCGATCGACTGAAGGGAAATTCGATCTTCAGTCGATCCATCCGTCTTTTGCTGTTCCATCTTCGGACGGACAGAGCTCCCGATCGAGCGATTCTCCTTCTTGGAGTCCCCCGATCCAGAGCATCTGGAAACATGACAGCTGAAGACAAGTTCTTGTATTTATGGTTGATTGATATGTTTGTTACCTAGTAGAGAGAAAGAAATAGACAAGGGCAGGCATCTCATCGGGAGCGATAGCTTCTTCGTCGAAGTAATGATGCTCAACGAATGCGGATGTCTGTCGGATACCTAAAGCCGAGCTCTGAATCAAATCGTCCCGTTGAACTGCAAGATTATTCAGACACGACAGGGAGTGTACTAACTAACGCGGAATCGGAGTTCGAGCGCCCGACTGCGGCGCTAGCGTTCCGAATGCGTCAGCCTCAATTGCGGCGGATACCCTGAACCTCCTAGAACCCCCTGTCTCCCCGAATAGGGATCTTCAAAACGAGAAGAAAGCCTAATCGCAATTCGCCATCGGCCCCAGTCGGATCGATCCCGATGGTCATTGTTTTGTGCAAGGACAAATTCTTGTTGTTATCATTCCTATCACTATTGTTGTGCCATCACGTACCAGCGACCATCAGAACTGAGAGTGCGCGAAACGTCTGAGAAACCTCCGTCTCCTATCTGCTACGTATGATCGTTACCCACAGTTACCAATCGTTTGGATAACTTGCAGTCAAACGCTTCAGAGCCGGCCGGAATAGGAAGGTTCAAGAGTGAGTAAGTTCAACTGTGCGAATATTCAGCGAAACGCCTATGATGAATGATGACAACACCTGTAGACGAAAATATACTTTTAATATATTGACCCAATTTCCCAATCGTTTAGTTGAACTTTTAGTCCGATGCTCGACGGCTTCTATACGTCCTCCGATCGCATGGAGACGTTCGCCTCGTGAGGGAATTGTATGATTTCCGCGATGGGAGTCGGCTAATCTAATAATACCTGTTGATGGGGCCCTCTCGACAGAAAATAACTACCTACATACATTTAAGTGGCCTGAATGAGTCGTTCTCGTCTCGAGAACTCAAACCTGAGGAGAACCGAACTAGAACTCGAAAAGATGCAATACCACGGAAACTACATTCATCTGATGAGTAGTCATAAAGCTATACTCAGATGTCATTCATTATTGCTGGTCAAAGAATGCACATACCCGGTGGAGTGGGAGAGCGGACCGTCGGACTGCGTTCACGAAGGAGCGATCGAATTCTCTCAGACTCTGAAGGAATATTCGACTCGAGACGCCAAAACTTGAAGCAACAATTGACTCTCAAACCATTAAAATACCTAAATATATTAGGAAAAACTCGACAACTTCAGTGAAACCTACGGAGGCTGTGGAAGTAGCCGGAAGACGCAGTAAACGATCTCTGGCCGACTTTGAATCAATACATACCATGGATTTATCTCAAAAACTTTATCGATTACAGCAACAAAGTGGGCTCTACCACAAGTACGATCGAAAACACAAAAAGAGAAACCTGACGTACGAACCGGAACAAATCCAAAAAAGATCGAAATATTTTTACTCAATCTCACAATCAATGATAAATTGTCATATGAACAACGATCGAAAATCTACAAAAAACGAGAATAATTTTAACGAAAGCAACAGAATATATCCGCGTGTTCTCGATCTCGGTCAACGTCGATTGTGATTCCACGCTCGTTTCGCGGGTGAGATAAAACCCTGCAAAATCTCATTTGAACAAACAGCTCACATCTCATGATAAGTGAAAGTATTCAAGTATTCTGAATCAGAACTGGACCTAACTTGATTTTTCGATGACTGATTGATCGGTTGATAGATTAATAGATAAATCACTGATTAGCCGATTGGTAGCGGCAATCGATTGGTTGGGCTCTTGGAATCGCGGATGGAAGTGGGAAAGTGTATGTGGAAAGGCTCTCGAGTATCTCGGTGGGTGCTTCCCGGTATGACTGCGGTGTGTTTTTTAAGTGGAAGTTGGCTATTATGTTTTTTCTTCGATGGAAACCCCCGCAAAGGAGAACCGAAACGACGGGGTTTCAGCCACGAGGGCCTGAACAAGGTTTATACAAATATATTATGGAAATAAAAAAATCATCTAGACTCCCGAAACGAGGTGTGTTCATTCATTCGAGTGCGAGGAATTTCATGGTGTTCCTTAGTCCCCCGACGCGACCTCATCCGACACTTCATAACCGTTCCTGAGATGGAGAAAACTTATAGTGCGGTTATGGAAGAGTTCCGATCGAAGCGCGACTTGTTGAACGAGGAATGGGTCCCCGGGAGCTCAAATGTTGTATTGGAGGGACTCAACTATTTCTTTCGCGCTGTCTCGGGTGACGATGTCCCCGTCAGCGTTTGGTGGGGCTCGAAGAACCGGGATCTCCGCATCGGTCCGCGATACCTTTCCAATACACCTCGGATCTCGCCAGGAGGATGTCTGCAGTCTGCATCACACACGGAAGGAGTAGTGCCGAATCTCGAGAACAACGAATTCGGAAAGAGGGCTGTACAGTAAAAGCTCGTTATAACGACCCCCATTACAACGAATTTCTCGGTACAACGAACAAGGAATTTCGTCTCCTTTGGCCAGCTCGCCATAGGGATAGTGTTGAGCGGCATTCGTTACAGCGAAAACTCGGTACAACGAACCACTTTCGTCGGTCCCTTCGTGTTCGTAGTAACGAGCTTTTACTGTATTCCAGAAAATACGTGCTTCCATCGACGGGCTGAAGTCTTAAGGCTACAGATGCGGTGCGCAGAACTGTCGAACGACGAGGCGAGGGGGAAGAAAGCGAGGAAGCACGATGATGATAATCCAACCTTCTCAGATAACTCCCTGATTTCCGAAGAAACGGAAACGAACGCCACCAGGCGTAGCACGAAAAGAACGGTTGCTTCGCGAAATTCACAGCCGGGGTTACAACCACTCGGGGCCCATCGAGCGGCAGGTTCTGTCAGGCATTATGACGTGTCTCGGATCGGCAAGGCCTACGAAGGGGTGAAGATTCCGAACGAAACCTTGTCCATATCGATG